TTTTCACGTAACTGACACAATAAAGAAAATATTAAACGCAATACATAACAAATGTCGCGACAATAATTGCTACCTTATTATTTTGCTTTAGTCATAACAGACTCCTACGCAATGACATCATAAGTGAAACCGAAAGTCTATTTTGAAATAAGTCGATTCAAGCTATTGAGGTATACTCGGGGGAACGAAATAGTATTCGAATATTTTAATAAATAGTTATAAACCAATTGAAAAATTACGTACAAACGTATCTAAAATAATTAGTAGATAATGTCATTATCACCAAACGGGCGTTGACTAGGGTGAATGACGCAAAATCGCAACTAGACACGAAAATTGAGAGACTGGAAAAGCTGTAATCTCAACCGCGGTACATCATCACACACTTAACTAATTCTTTACATCGAAACCCCGCCTGACTTAAATTAAAACGAATTACTCAAATAATATTTGCGGTATAACTCGTATAAAAAAGTTTTATTAATGGCTGACACCAATCTCAAAATATGAATTAAAGTGAAATCTAAAAATCTTGATACTTGATTGTGCAATTAATCTGTATGGAAGCCTAAATAGTACCGAAGCAGAACGACTTGCCTCACACGTCCTTTAGATAACAATTGTTTCGCTTACCTATTTTTTTATGACTTTACAACGAAAATATAAGTAAGAGATATGAAAACATGTATGTTTGTGGTTTACACAAATTAGTTCTGGGTAATAACTCATTTCAAAGTGTTTATTAGACAATTTGTCTTTTCTTAGTCTATTTAATATTGGCTTTCTAGCGATCTTTGACATCAATTAATGTCACCAGTGCTTAGATCAACCTAACAACCATAAGATTGCTAATCTACATCATTATCGACTAAAAATGCCGAAGTTACGTCGACAAGGCTGTTTTGATTTCGTAAAGGCACGTGGGCGATATCCTTATGATCACGCTGTGAAATTGGTCAATTGGATTGCTAGATGCAAAGTAATGCTTTAAAAAGATGTGTACTGAATAAAATGGTATTGAAGAGCAGAAGAATTTATTAAACGTCTAACTGAATATACATATGAATTGAATGACATTATTACATCTAGGAACAGTTTTCGGGAGATCTGCGATCACCACCACGGCTAGTGTGGTCCTGTACAATATCCGGATAGGAAGGCAATTGCGTAAAGATTAATTAACTATCGAATATAATTAACGTTTGTAAGTGTTATAATTGTCTTATGTATCGTATGACCTTATAAGTCATAGAGCTTTAACTCCGAGCGTCGTCTCATTCGCGTTAAAACAAACAGTATATAAATTGCTGACGTAACCAATATGAAATTAAAGTGCAAAAAAATGTAAATATAGTAATTACATTGATTACAGTTGACCACCCGTCTAACCGGGCACTGTATGTGAAAAGACAACGAAAGTGGACGAACGGCCGATAACATGTTTAATCGGCGTTATTTATTGGTAGAGGATTTTAACATTTTAACACCATTGATTTACAGCAAAGCTATCAGCTGTCAGTTTGTCCAGAACAATGTTAACGAAGCCGTAATCGATTGTCAAATCGGATTATCCCGCTCGTGACCGAGCTTGCACGTCAGCCCTCATTACTTTTGCATCACGACCTAGTGGCGACCGCGGCACAATTTGTCCACAGCATAGTGCAATCAGCATTTTGAATTTTGGCGCCAAATTTACTTTATCAGTTACGTAAAAACTGACTCCCTAAATTAAACCCAATTGTGATAAAACGAACAGACATCCGAATATTCAAAGCCAAAATAGGTCGAAAACACATTATCCTCCTCTATCATAAAAAAATCACATTTGAAGAAAAGTTCTAATTCAATAGCACTACATATTATAATATACTTAATAAATCCGATTTTGAGGTTTTACTTAATTTAATTTTCCTATTGGGAGCATAACTTAATTTTTACTTTTATCAATATGTTAAATGTACGTAAATAATAATCGTCTGTGAGACGTTAAGAGTTAATAAATCTAGTGCGATTGTAATTGAAAAGAACTTCCTCGCTATATTTATAGATGAAAATTAATGAAAACGTGCACCGACGTTTCGAGGTCATTTAATTAACTTCGAGTTAATCGAATCTTATTTAACAACATAACGTAGGCGAAACTATACATACTGCTCATTAAAATCAACCAGTATAATAAATGAAAATCTTTGAATACATAGAAAAAAACATTTTTCTTTATGTTTGCTCATTGGTGGTTTAGGCCACAAAATAATGTTCTTATTCGCTCTGAAAAGAATTATAAGTTAGCTGTGTGCATACAAGTGCATGATCCCTTTAATTTTTTCTCGTCGTATTTCTTTTTAATATTCTCTTAATAAAAAAGTGGTACGAATTATGTACCTCGAATGATATCTGTCTATGTATAAAGAACATAGTAATGTTGTACAAGTTCATACATGTAAGAAATAAAGTCCATAACAGTTACACATTAGATTAAAAATATAATAATTAGTGTTTCGATGTATAACAACATACGCCTATATCTAAGGATAATAATAAGACAAATAATACCAAAATTAAGATATATGGGACAAAAAAAAGTTGTTCCAACACTGCCTGTAGTTTACGCGAGTGGTAAATATTTAAATAGAACACTAATGGTTCAAAAGGCAATATATATTAGTTCCTTGGGGAGATACCCCTTAACCTTAATTGGGCCGTAGTTAAAATTATTTCCAAATAAGTTTACCTAACATATATCGCGTTTTAAACCGTTATTTTGTTTATCTGTACGTACATGCTCTATAAAAGAACAGCTAAAGCCTTATAATATATTTAGTCTGATTGAATATGCATCATTCCAAATTGCAGAACATTCGTATGCAAGGCTGTATGATTGAAAATACGTCAACGTCACGGACAGCGTGGTACCATAGTCACGGAATTGAACTGTGGAATCGTGTCGGACGCTTGGCGCGCGGTCGAGGGAACCCGTTCACTATGACTCATATGACTTTGTTTGTTCTATTGTGATAATAGTGTACATACAATTTCTGTAAGCACCGAACGCTTACTGAAACGTATAATAATAACATGTCCAAACACTTGCTTTAATAAAGAAAGAGTATGTCTATTCTTATATGAACACACGACACATCCATGCAGAGATAATATTATTCTTATTGGAATCAGAACACCTACGTTTTACATAATAAACTGATACAAAATTCAATTCTTAATTCCCTTACACCAATACAAAAAGGAAAAAATCAACCGTAAGTCTTGGAAAAAGAATATACATTGTTAAATGCAAAGTATGCAGCACAAATTATCTTCAGAGAATACTTTCCATTAAAATTTCCATGCTTTCTGACTTTTCAGGTTATCAATCCAGGTTTTCAACCACTAAGTCCCAGAAGCAATGCTAATATGGTTACCAATTGATAGAATAGGTCACTTAAAAGCTTAGCTTTTGATTACACTATATTTTACTGTTATGACATAACATATAACCAATATGACTATAGAAAAATTCCAATTAAAATATGTCTTGCTAGGATTTATTTTCTGCAAACAGACATATAACTACTGTTAGATTTTGTTTCAGATATCTGTATCTAATAACAGTATTTAAATATTGCCCTTATAGCACAGTATAAGATGAATCAACATCAATTAGTAGGCGACCTGCATGAGGTAACTCAGTTTTAGTAAGGAAACTGATATAGCAACTGTACAACACCATATTATTATGTAGTAAAATTATATAGTACCATTATAACTAGCTTTGAAAGCCCTAAAAATGTCCAATAGAGTTAAAAGGTAGGCACATATAGGTATATTATACATTTCTGAATATATTTCTTAACTTGGCACAATAGAAAAATACAAATTGATTATTAAGTTATTAGATATATCCTTATTGCATTAATGAGAAAACTTTTAATATTTACGTTTTTATTCATGTTTTTTATACATTTATGTTGTAGTAAAATATTTAAATGTTACGGCCTATAGTGGCGCGCGCGCCGCTCTGGTCTTATATGGTCGCTTGACGCAAGGTCGCGACCCGTCCTCGTCGAGACGGTTGAAATTCGAAATATCCATATTACAGTGAAACACTTGCAGCATATAGTCCCATTTTGGGGGCATATTCATGTCCGTTAAATATAAAGGGATTTACTAATATGGATGATAACAATAATAAGATGTTGGGTCAACTTTATCAGTACAGACTTAGATCACTTTGTCATCAATATATCAGCCCCAATATTTTGTAAAATAGAACCTTTAACAAAACTCCTAACTGTTAAAGTAAAATTATATAATGTTGCTTGTTCAAAATTGAAAAACCATTAATTCTTTTTAGAAAAGAATGTACTTGAGTTGAAATAGTATTTGTTTTTACATTTCATTTGTATTTTTAACATATTTTATAATTTAGTAGTGTATTGAAAGCAATATTAAAATATATTATATGCCTATACAATATTCTATCAAAAAATAAAATACGAACTCTTCCACAATATGTCTAAATGGATTATAATTCTTAAAAATAAATCATTTATAAAAGTTCTTCTATATGTATCTAGATGCCATTTCCTTTGGTAAATTAAATTTTAATAATTGAAGACATTCTTCTTGAAAGTCTTTTTGAATTGCTCCATTGGTAAACTATAATCCATATAGTTCTTAAAAAATATATAAATATATAACAAAAATTAAGATAAGATTATTTTACCTGTCATAATGTCTTATAGTGAACTTCAATGTTATTACTACATTTTTTATGAACATGCTAAGGACAAGTAAAAATTGCAAATATAAGCCTCTGCCTCATTTTAGTACATACCTTAACCAATTGACTTTTGAAATAGATTTATAGAACAGTTCTCAGTAAGACATTATTTCTGGAACCTGAACACCATAAATTGGCCACGTACCGTTTTTGTCCAAAAAGCATGAAAAGATTATTGATACAGGATTACTAAGTCATAATTTTTCTTTCTTCAACTTACCATCTGTGCGTTTAATGTTGATGTTAATTCCAGATTGAATTTTAATAGTACCGTCATCCATTTTTGCACTGTTTTATACACCATACACACTATTTAACATTATATTGCAATTAATGGCTATTCTAATATTGTCTAATTCATTCGGTAATTGAACAGAACCGGTGAAAATTACAAATAAATTTCTACACCCAGACTGACAGTTATATCGAGCTAGCTACACACTTCAGACTGGAACGTTTCAAATTTGTTTCAACATAACAGTCAAATCAATCACTTTCTACTATTTATTGTTAAAAGGCAACTTCTATGTAAATTAAAATAACTTCTTTAACTTAAATGAAATAAAGAGACCAAAAACATTTTAAAACAAATCGGTTACAACACGAAATTAAAAGATCGTCGATTAGATCAATGCGTCGAAAATACTTTTTACAGTTTAACCACTTGTACTATAGAATAGACTAAGTTACACAGATTATAATCTAAATTTTCAAATATTTTCTCAGACGATATAAGAAAGTATAGACTAGGAATAGTTGCATAGAATATGAACAAAAATATCTGTGGGCAATGCCAATAGCAGTAAAGAATACTCATTTCGTATATATGACATATTATAGATTGAAAATTACAAATTAACAGACAGGCATATAAATTGCAAATGACAGGTTCATTTTAAAAATCAATTAAACCTTTTTAAGCTTGTGAAGTAGTTTTTATTTTTTTAAATTACAGTACTATATATTGTATACAGAGCTGTAGTTTTAGTTAATAAAAACACATTTAAGTTAAAATGGATACTGAATATAAGTTGTCACATAAGGCTAAAAAACGTATAAAGGAAGTGAAGAAAAAAGCTCGACCAGGTAAAGATTGACAAGTTTACTGTTTTAAAATAGTTAAAATATCAAGCTGCCTCTGTAAAATATGTTATATGATTTAATTTCTTTTATTTTATTTTGTTTACATGTATTTCAATATGGAAATTTTCTAGAACAGTTTTGGCTTGGTTAGGTTTTAAAAGACCACCTCCAATAGCTATTACAAGTTAAAATTAAAGCTAGGTTAAAACCTGGCTTTAATTTAATACAAATAACCTTGTTTATCGTTAGTGCACAGAGATACTTTTTGATTGCATACTTAGGGACAAAAAAGCAATCTTTTGGTATTAAGGATCCCTGTTTCCACACTACTATGGGTAATGAGATTTTTGACCAACAGACATGAAAACACATATATACTTTTAAAGATTAAATGATTTATTAAGAGGCAAAAACACTACAAAATAAAAAATCTATATAAATAATTACTTGTAATCATTTAATTGTTATACACTACGGCTATATATATCTAACCATGCAAAAAAACTAAACCCCTACCACATGTTCACAACACCTAGTTTGTAGTGTCTATTTTAATTATATAAAAAAGGAAGCGTAACAACCAACTCACTACCTCACTATTTGAGAAAAATGTATAGTTAACTAACCAATTTATTTTTAATCTGTAATGAACTATTCTGTTATTAACTATCACACTTTACTTTTAAAAGCCTTATTTCCATTTTCTCTCAAGTCCCTACTTGCCGTGCTAACATATAATTAATATAAATAACATATATTCTTATATTTTTTCACAGAGCTAGCAGATAAATACCAATGGACAGCCTTAAAGTATGCTTCAAATTTTGAAGAATTCCTAAAATGTAAAGATAATGTAGATAGGGTAGATTCCAATGTGACCTCACCGCAGGAATTTATAGACAGATATGAAAAGATTTATAAGCCAGTTGTTATCACAAATGTACAGACAAATTGGCGTGCCAACCACAAGTGGACCCTGGAACGTCTAGTCAAAAAGTATCGGAACCAAAAATTTAAATGCGGTGAAGACAATGAAGGTTATAGTGTTAAGATGAAAATGAAATATTATGTAGAGTATATGAGGACCACGACTGATGACAGTCCACTATATATTTTTGATAGCAGTTTTGGGGAGCATCCGAGGAGAAAGAAACTTTTGGACGACTATGAAATACCTTTATATTTTCGAGACGATCTATTCAAGTATTGTGGTGAAGAAAGGAGACCACCATACCGTTGGTTTGTTATGGGACCTCAAAGATCTGGAACAGGGATCCACATAGATCCCTTAGGCACAAGTGCATGGAATGCTTTAGTGTTTGGACATAAACGATGGTGCTTATTCCCAACTCAGACCCCTCGAGAGTTAATCAAAGTTACTGGAGCAATGGGGGGAAAACAACGAGACGAAGCTATTACGTGGTTTAAGCTGATTTATCCTAAAACTCAACTAGATACATGGCCCAAGGAATATGCTCCAGTAAGCCCAAGTTATTTTAAATTGAATAGGGGATTTATTTTTATTTTTTTAGAGAAAGTTACGTAAGATACAATTGTCTGTCTACTGGTCAATTTTATTTACAGACATTTGGGTAGTAAACATTTTTTATAGCAATTCTGTGCCCTCTAGCCAGCTAAATTGTACTTTTAAACTGTTATAGGTAGAAATACTTCAGAAGCCAGGTGAAACTGTATTCGTGCCAGGTGGTTGGTGGCATGTTGTCCTCAATATGGATGACACTGTAGCAGTAACTCAAAACTTCTGTAGTCGTACCAATTTTCCAGTTGTTTGGCATAAGACTGTAAGAGGTCGGCCTAAGTTGTCTAAGAAATGGATTAAAGTTCTTGAGGCCAAAGAACCTGATTTATATAAAATAGCCAGTGGGATGGATCTAAGTCAGGGCACTGGTGTGGCTTCTGATAGCTCTTCCAATAGCAGTTCCTCCAGCAGTGACAGTGACAGTTCATCTTCAAACAGCTCTAGTGAGGATGACAGTGGACAAGAAAGTCTCACTGCCTCTAAGAAAAAGAGGCGTAGAAAAATGTAAAGACAAGAAATAAAGTATTTTTTTATCCACAGCACCAATCAAATTCTAAATAGTATACAATTTATAGATAAGCAGGACCTTTTGTATTACTAGATGTAATTATTTAATTTTGACTTGTTGGTTTTAACATTAATTAATGTGTTCTTGTTGTGTAAAAGTATATAACAAATAAATTAAATTTAGTATTAAAATTGTTTTTATTATGTTCGCTCCAACTAAACCTTAGATAAAAATCGTAAAATTAAACCAATATATTCAAGATTTGGCTCGAGAGTGTGTTTATATTTCATCATTGTCTAAAGTCAAATCTCAAGTTTATTTTTTTTAAATACTTACAGAGTTGTCAACATTTCTTCGGCGAAGTATACTACTTTTAAAAAACGCTATATAAATATAGTACATCTCTTAAAAATAATCTAATTTATGAACAAAAATTAATTATACCTCAAAAAAAAAGTTCCTTTATATATAGGATCAATTCGTTTCTTCTTCTACTACTTCAACAATGTATAGTATTGTACTAATATTATATTATAGTAGTAAGAAGTAAGACTTTTATATAAATAAATAACATGTAATTTCATAGTCTATCACAGTATAGATTGGCAAAATTCTAAAACAAACCGTTTTGTAGCACCCTCTAGCTCTATTTCTTGTAAACTTCGAGTCAGAGATACTAGAAGATAGATGCACCAAAAATATTGATTGATATCTATATAAGTCTAGTATCCTTAGTCTATTACTAACGTCACTTTATGATTATTCGGCCGATCGCAGCCATATTTTGTTATCTTTGCCAAAGTTCCTGTGGATTTTCGTTTCAAAATGTTAAAATCAGCTTCTGGCACTTTGGTGAATGTTCTTAAACGATCTTTGGTGCCCGCCACCAATGTATGTGCTGTAATTCCTGCTAGAAGAGCGCACGGAGGCCCTGTGGAATCGGACGAAGATTTCGACAGAAGGTAACCTGTCTTATAAATTCTGACATTATGTAACTAGAGGCTTGCTTTGATTACTTTATTTTTTTTCATGTGGATTGATAGGATCATAATAGATTTATTGACTTTACTTGGTTGCCGATAAATCAAAGATTCGTAAAATTATGTCATAGTGAAAATATGCTTTCTATCCCATGTCTTAAAATAATATCTATAAGTCTGATATTTAATAAGTAAAACTAGTCTTATTTGGGTCTTTTGAAGTGTACTATTTAACCAGTTCAGTTCGATAATTATCTTATCAGAAGTCTCATTTCAGATATGAAGCTTACTTCAACCGAAAAGATATTGATGGTTGGGAAATCCGCAAGGGCATGAATGACCTCTGCGGTATGGACCTGGTGCCTGACCCTAAAATCATTATTGCAGCCATGCATGCTTGCAGGCGGGTAAATGACTACGCCTTGGCTGTTAGGTTTATTGAGGCCTGCAAAGACAAGTGTGGTACCAAAGTAGCCGAGATCTACCCCTACATAATTCAGGAAATTAAGCCAACTCTCTCAGAGCTTGGCATTGAAACTCCAGAGGAACTAGGCTATGACAAGCCAGAGTTAGCTTTAGAAAGTGTGTATGAGATGTAAGTCACAGGTGATGATAAGATGTAGAAATTTTGTATAATAGTTTTGCTGTTAACTTTTGTTTTTATTTAATTATGTAAACATCAGAGTATTCCAGGTCCTACAGATAATATTGACTGGCTTGTCTAAGGTATTAAAACCATTAGAGAAATATAATTGTTGTTTTATTCATAACATTCATATGAAGCACTTAATTGTATAAATTGGATTGTTTGTGTCTCAGTGTGTTTTTCAGAAGCTTTTAATATTTTTTGTATCATAAATTATACTGGTATAAACAAAATGTCTTAGTTCATACTGTATATCTATACCGAAAGCTGAAGAGTTTGTATGTTTAAACACACTAATCACAGGAACTATGGGTTTGAATTGAAAAATTATTTTTGTATTGGTTGGAGCATTTATCAAGAAAATATGTATATATAGCAGGTGTCTAAGCCTATTCATTTTCTATCAGAATGTGCTTTAATATTAAGAAAATTACTTTTTATCTTTGCTATAGCTACCAAATGTTTGATAAGGTGTAAAGACTGTACTCAAGAGGATATAATGTAAAATATAAACTGGACCGCACAGTTGCACTGCCTAATAGAAAGGAACTTACTCAGCATAAACATTGTAACAGATAGGTACTTACGTCTTTCACTTTTTACTTTGTGGACAGGAGATTAGGCTGTTTTAGAAGATATACATACAAAGGTACATTTAGCCACTTACTGTCAACTCTTTTACTCTATTACATTTATAAATTACCTTAAAAGGATTTTCTATATTAAAATTTTAAATATTTAATTACAACAATTATAGGAATATTGGTTATTTTCTGGACCAAAAAAGTTAAGTAATAAAATACACACATATATGTAAATACTTTAATGGTTGCAATATACACTCACTCATACCATATTTACATTCGCAAATCATCACTTAACAAGAAAATTGTGCTTCTCATTACATATAAATTAAACAAATAAATTAATGAACACCAGAAACAAAAATTGTAAAAACAAACTTGCTTTTGAATATATAATAATTTATGTTTATATGCATACAGATTTGTACTCTCTATAATGACTACACCTTATCATCTAGACTTGGCTAACAATTTAAAATCCTTTTAGATTTATAATATTATGAAAGTTATCCTAAGATTTGTTTAGCGAAAACGGCTTCCAAAGTGGCCATTGTAAAGATACCTAAATGTAACATCTATACATTTTAAACATCAATACAACATTTCGGATCTTAAATCTTTAACCCTGCCAGGTATCTAATATATAAATTACAATTAATAATTCTCCTAAAGTATTTTACAATTTTAAGACTAGATCGTTACTATGACTCGATTCGACTAGAATACGTCAACAAATTTATAATTAAAACAACAATTGCACTTAAATAAAGGAATGTAGGTAAAAATAAAGTACCGGAACAAAATATTGCACGAAATAAAAATAAATAAGTGTAAATAAAGTTATCTTAATAAATATAGAATAAATTAAATATTAACTAGTTTGCGTTCGAACGCGATTGATCCATGAGATCGTGGATAGTATCAAGTACTTATTCGGATTGTCTTATTTTATCACACGACGATTCAAAATTTATATAAATTATTTTTTACAATTAAACTGACCGTATTATTTCGAGATAAAACGTTTTTCTATAAACCTTAGGTAGCATAACTTGAATATAACTTCTGATTAGATAATTTTTCGAAAAAGTCAATAACTTCCTACGCCTTAATTTTGGCCGTAAAACATCAGCCATGACCATCTTATTTTGTTCCATATTCAAAAGTAGCGCGCCTTAAGATGTCACTTTGGCATTGACTAGTGGTGTGGTTCGAGCGCGTCGGGCATAGAGGGCGCCGGTTGCGAGGGCGGTGAGGCTTGCTCAGAGTCCGCCACGAGACTCAACAGCTAAGAATCTGCCACCACTGCTTCGCGTTCTGACTTTACCTGCTGCTGATGCTGTTGCTGTTGAAATGAAAGTAGTAAATAAGCATGAATAACTACAAATAATACAGAAAGTTGAGCGTAGATTTCAAACTTCAAAGGAGGAAAAGTAATTTATTGCATATATATAGTTAAATACTTATAAAAACTATTTAAAGATACTTGAAATCTGAAAGTTGAGTTACCATAGCCTTTGTCAATACAGAAGCATCCTTGAGACTCAAAACCTGGAGGACCTGCGCTCCTTCGCCCCCTTGCAGCATCACTTGGGCGACCCCACCTCCCATTGAAAGCGCTTCTAGACCTTCGCCGTTCTGTTCAACCTGTAAAGTTGAATATATATATATATAAATCACCACAAAAAGTACTTCGCGAACATTTTTCTAATAATGAAATATGCAAATAAGAATAATGCAAAGAATGAAATAAAGAAAGCCAAATACACACCTTGCATATCTGAACACGACTTCACAGTAGCATCAACGCTCAATAGCACTACAACACACAACCCAAATAAAACAACACATAACAATCACAGCGTTTATTGTGACTAAAATAAAAAATACTGAGCGCTCCAAATGACAAAGCCTTATTTACAAAATCAAATAAGATGCCATTACAACATTCCGAGCGCCAACAAAACACAAAATAGACTTCTAATAACTTAAAAAGAATATTCAACGCGTGTGACTGACATAAAAGATATAAATGTTAATAAATAATAACAGTTAAATTTATTACTGAATAGAAATGTGAGATAACGCATTTCTAATAGAATCATTGGAATCTGTATGCATGTATTCTATAAAAACAAACTGATCAATAAGACTTTTAGGAACTGAATAATATGAAAATATTTAAAAAGTATAAAAATCTAAAGTGAAGCGGGGCATGGACAAACTGCACAAATACTGAAATCATGCAAAACTTACAACTATATTAACAAACGATGCACCACATTGGTAACATTAAAATACTTACAAGTTAACATTTTATAAAAGTAAACTTTGAAATTATAGCAAACAGTGTTTCAAGTGTACTAGCAATCTAGATTCAAAGCAATTCCAATAAAAAAATAGGTACTGGGCATTTAAAAACTTTTCCTTACGAACACCATTAAGGATAAACACTATAGTGGTTTTAAATTTCAACTGTGGACACATTAACATAAAAATAGCGCATCTACTAAATATGCTAATCACTATATAAAAAAAGACATTGCATGCATCTATAATAAAGTATAATATATTTGGCACGTACAAGCATGAGATCGCAACACAAACACAATTTAAAATAACTAAGTAAAACTTAAATAGTATAAATTAAGAAAACAAACTACTAAAGTCAGTTAAAATTGAAGTGAAGACACAAAACATATACTTATACTGTTTTTAACTTTCACACCTCTATATACGCGTGTTACTAAAACTCCCTACTTTCAAGACATTCCTGTCTACACTACCAAGTCTATGTGTCTGTACTCAATGGCACATATGAAGCATTATGCTATCATATTTTCACTAAAATGTATATTTTAAAATACTAAAAAATCTTTAGCTCACTGTGCATGAATTGACTAGAAAAGGTGGTCTAATAGTATGTTTATTAACTAGTCAGACATACGTCTGTTACAACTATATTTGGTGTACAGGAAACGTTAGTTTTCCTTAAAATACTGTATGTAAATAACATATATATGTATCTATGAGTGCTTCTCAACAACTGTCAAGTCATTTTATGTATTTGTATATAATGCCCACAGTAAACATGGATCATATGACACATATAGATACCGGCACTCATATGTCACGACAGAGATAACACTACGAGTGTATGAGACACAAACTATGTCTTTTTTACTATAAATATCTACAATTCTATGTAAACTCTTTCTTTTACTATCTATCTCATTTTGCTATTTTAAAGAGCTGTTATATGGAAACATGTTATTTTATTGAGTAATTCATTTAAATTAAAAATTACATTTGTATGACAAAAAGTAAAAAAATTCTTATAGAAACCAGAATTTTTCAATACTAGAATATTTAATTATGGTTCTACTTTCTTGCTTTCGTATATTTTTTCTCTTTTCTATGTAAAATAAAATGGATGTGTTTAAAAGAGATAGAATAAAATGTTGATACTATAAATTGATGGTACGAATTTATGCGATTTCCACTTTAATGTATGTGTGCATGTTTACTGCGGGCGTATATGTGTGCGTGCTTTGAGCGCGTTTGAAAGTGCGTGCGCGTGATTGCGAGACCTGGACAAGAGGAGCGACGCAGACGCCGTCCTGCTGTTGCATGGAAGCCACCATCGACTGGTATACTGATGCGGAGACGGGCACAGTTATTACACCAGACACCGACACTGGGTAACCTATAAATTACAAATAGAAAATTACTTAGGAAATGAAAGAGACGTACGGATTAAAAACGCGATATACATTAATTAAACTTATTTGAAAATTATTTTAACTACGGTCCAAGGTTTAGGATGCTTTGCAGCAGCCGTGGTCATGGGGAGACAATAATTTTAAAATAAGTTTAACTAATATATGTATATCGCGTTTTAAACCATTAAAGTGTTTTATTTAGTGCGAAATAATAAAGATAATGTAAATCGATTAATTTATGTAGAAGTATGGTAGACGTAATATTAAAAGTTTTAAAAGAGATGTGAAGAAATTTGTGACATACCATGCCCATCGTCCGTGGTGAGTATGATCTGCGTGTCTGAGTTGAGTCCGGCTTCGTTGAGGTCTACGGCCACGCCCTCTCCGTCCAACCCACTAACCACTGCTCCACCCTCTGTGCTGTGAATCTATAAAAAAAAATAACAAGATATGAGGACCAGAGTAATAGATAAGTTTATTTTTTAATGTTTATATTACAAACATATTTAATTTTATAAAGACTACTTGAATCGACAAAGGTTCTATTGCCACATAAGTAACTTTTAAGGTATGATATATATGTTATAGCAGACCCATCTTCGGAAGGTTGAAATAAGTTTTTATATATATATTAGTTTTATGTATGTTTGTGTCGCCACCACCACCATCAGCACAATATAATATAGATTATAGAGCCTTGTCGTATGGTTTAGACATAGCTCTATAATAATTTATATTTATTTGAATACTCACGACTTGCGCAGTTGTTCCGTCCGGAAGCGTAATAATGGGGCTATTTGGGTCCACTTGGATCAACGACACTGATCCATCTGGATTCGTGATCGTTTGCAGCACCGCTGGCGCGTATTGGGACATCTGGGGATAGGGAAGGGCGAACATTTAGACTTAAAATAAGTGAAAATGCTGCTAGGGCAACATAAGTTAAAAACATACAGAAAAGAAGATTGTATTGTAATAAATGTATTAATTTTGCACTGTGGACACAAAATTAATACTGTCCGGACCAATATTTAAAACAATACTATACATAGAGGAGTCTTATTTTTTTAATCAGATCTAGTCATTCAAGCTACAGATCTCACTAAATTAAGAAATTATATATTAAAATGTAAACTGTAAGTATCTTAGATGCTATCATACATCGACGTCAGCAAGAGTCATCTGATCGATGCAAACTTGCTGCGAGGTGAGGACGGCTTGCTGCCCGCTGTGTTTGCTGCTAGATCCGCTAGAGTTGCAGCTGCCGCTCGGCATGCATTGCGACGACTTTTTTAAACATTATTTTAAGTGTTACCATATCCAATTTAGCAGCAATCCAAAAGCAGTAGCATAGGGAGAAGGGAATTAGTTTAGTAAATTTTATTATCGCCAAATTTAGTGGGTAAATGTTAATTACATGGAGTCATTTAGCTGCCACGTTTTATATATCGTTATCATTACACTCTAAACAGACAGCGATATTACATACCGACGGTGAGAGTGGTCGCGCATGTTTATCGTCGTCGTCTTCAGTAAATGCCGGCAACAGATCCTCCCGTCCGTGATATTTGTAACAATTTATCACAATCTGACGAAGCGCGTGCGTCCATGACATCTGAGAAATTTGATTAAATAGTTCCATTAATCACCTGTTCACATTTTAAAGAATTATTTTCCTGGTATGATTATGTAAGAGGTCATTTAGAAGAATTTTCATACTTCGTAATATAAATAGTATTTTTCACATGAGAAATATGTACATAGGAGATACAACTTTACAAGGAAATGTTAATACTATTATAAAACAAATACAACATTGTTCATTTTCAGTATATATATCTATTGCAATAAATATGTGCATTACCTTTTGCTTCTCATCTTCAGATCTGGCATCCATACGAACGTTAGCCCAGGGCAGATCCTTGGGCCACCACGGCGGCCGTGTCGACTCACGACCCCAACCCGGCTTGCCACGAACTAAAGTCATTCAAAAGTAATGTTAGCTTAGAAGAACCCAATTAATCTCACACTTATGCTAGATTATTTGAAATACTGTATGTAGTTTACGTTAGCAATACACATTTAAATGTTATATTAGTTAAACTTATTCTCCCCGTGACCACAGTAAGTGATTGCAGCAGGCAAAGCATCCGGGCGGTAGTTAACATAATTTTCAAATTTACCTAATTTATATCGTGTTTTATTTAAACTAAATGTTTATGTTTTGTTTAATTAGCATTTCGTCATACTGACCCATCGAGTACTTGAGCATCAGCGGTATGAAGGCCCTGAGCTGCGCCTGCGTCATCTTCTCCACCGGGGTAGGGATGCCGTCGATGATAAGGGGTGGCAGCTCGAAGAGCGAGGGGTCCTCTTGCGGCGGGGGCGGCGCCTGCGGGCCCGAGCCCAGCCCGAACTGAAGAGTTATTTCGCCTCCAACACGCTCATCGGTGGCGGAGGCCCAACGCGGTATCGACATACCGTTACATCGATACCGTTTCGGGTGCGACAATAATCTCAGTTCGAAGCATTAGTTACAAAATACGACTTTACACCATTTGTGTAATAATTACTTATTTAGATAAAAAAACATCTCAGGTCTAAAGGACTTTGAAAAATAAAAGTAATAACTATCCAAATTACTGATTCCATCAAAGTAATCAATAAACAATACATGTTAAAATATATAACATAGTAAAATATCCCCTAAAATGTATACGAGGCTAAGATTTAGATATAAAGCTTCGCGAAACAAATAACATGTACAAGTCTTGCTATAATCGATTTTGTAAAATGATACTACTAATTTATATTGAATTTAAATGTAAGCCACAACGTTGGTATTAAATATGTATCTCTGTATGTGTATGTAGTACCTGCTGCGCAAGGGCATTCTCGAGCTCCTCCATAATCATGCAGCGAAGGTTGCGCACAACGTCCTCTAGCGGTTTTGCCCCGAAAACTCGGTACGACGTGTTGGGCTTGCCTGGTGTCGCGACCAGCACCACCGCCTGCTGCCCGACGCGGGTCGCAAACTCTTCTATTGTTTGCTATAAAGAATAATATTTATTTAAAAAAAGATACTAATAAAAATATGTATGCAAATATGTAATCAGTTTATCCTTTTGACTTGAAATTGGATGAGAAAGATTTTAGCAAACATGACTCAAAAGTATATGATTAACCTATGATATAGCCTTTAACGTATAGTTGGCAGGTTTTAGGCAGGGCCAAATTGCTATAAAAAAAAACTCTATAAAAGATATATAAACAGGGATGAATTCCAGCATTTAAAATACTTGTAAAAATGTCAGTTAAAAGATAAACTATGATATATGTTATATATACAATTTCACATCAAAATTTACATTATTATTATATTACATTTCTCCAATTTATAATAATATAAATAAAACAATATTTTAACCCAAGACATCAAGGACAAACAAAAATATTATCTGCGACCGTGACACAATAAATTAATGGGTTTAAACCCCTTGCAACTGGAGTATCGATTTTAAATTCACCCCAAGTTCAAACGCGGTCGCTGTATCTTAATGCGTGACGTTAATATTTCATAACATTATAGGGCATTAGGAATAATCGTATTATTTGATGTGATAAACACCTGGGATAGTGTGACGTTTAAGTTTTTCAACTTAAAATCTACAGACTACGTTTTCAGCTTTAACATAAATCTTGTATTTTGTTTTGTATACCAAAATACTTTTTTGTTACTCTGAATTTTACCGGTTTGAGAAAATCATAAATATTTAAGTTATTATACTTTCATTGCAGTTTTTAGCTGCAAACATACAGCAGTTTGTGGTATTCGAACCGCTAATTAATGAGCTGTTATAAACCTAATACCGTCGCGTGATTATTCTAAGTGACCCCTTAGACAGAAACCAGACAAATGTGGTGATTAAACTAAAACTGATTAACTTATACCTATTATATATAGACATACTCTTACATTATCCTACCTTCCCATACCTTCTGTTATCTGGTTGCAAAATTTAACATGTACTACTCCGCTAAACTCTAACACTCAGTTACAGTAGTAGTGTTACAGCGTAAGAATTATTATGTTAATTTAATAAGGCACCAAAACTATTAAACTGTGTAAATAAAAAACTTTAACGGTTTAAAACGCGATATATATTAGTTAAATTTATTTGAAAATTATTTTAAACTTCGGCCCGACGTTTCGGATGCTATGCAGCAGGCATGGTCACGGGGAGACTAAGATATATATTGCGTCTTTATCGTGTTTAATTTAAATGTGTACTACTCGCGTCAACTAGAGACAGCATTTATAATTTATTTTATTTATTAATTTGTTCGGGGTGTATACGAGGCACTTACTCTCAATTTTCTTAGCAGCCGATTCTGATGTCGCTTCCTGACTGAGGGGTTTGTCTCAAAGGAGTGTGGTCGTTTGCGTTTCTTTGAAGACGCAATGGCAGCTGCCGCGGCCATTCCCACTGGACCTGCACAAATAACATTAATCCTAAATTTTATATGTTATTATATTTATATTAGTAAATGTTATCCTATATTCAAATTCACTTTGTTCAATAAATTGACCATAAAGCCAACAGCTTTTCTCTATTGGACAATACAAAATGGCTTTACTATTCATATTCTATCAAGTGTATGAAACTCACCAGCTGCAGCAAGCTGCTTGGTGACCTCATCACTCATGGCGCTCTTGATGACGTCCCCGGCGTCTTCGTAGGCGGAACCAGCCGGGGAGGACGCACACTCCTCATCGTCCTCAGACGCACCACTAAGTCCACAACCATCCACTTGTGACATATCCTTTATAGAACCAAAAAAAGGGTTAAGGTATGTATTTTCATAGAAAAAAATAATTATTAATCAAACTAAAACTTTACAACTAATGTTTATCTGACTATGATCTTTGGCAAGTATCCTTCATCACTATGCACCATAGAGACACAGAGCTGACAATAAATGCCTCTTTTATAGCAAACTCTAAAGCAACTATGACTACATTACATAAATCACATTTGTTTATTTAATATAACAGTAGAGTTATATTAAATAAACAAATCATAGAGTAAAAGGAACTAACCTCTTCGGCCATGTCCATGGACTCTGTGCTGACTGCGGAATTCATGTTGGTGTCTGAGTCGTCGTCCTGCTTATTTTCCAGGACCATTTGGCCGTCCTCACAAGACCTTTATGGTAAAAAGCCTTATGCAGCTGGCTAGGTGCGTCAGCAGTCCTCTTTCAAGCTCTAAGGGAGTAGGCTTTATTTAATAAAATAACTACTTATTATATTGAATCAAGATGTCTTGATTCTATTTGCATTTCAATGGGGTGTTTTATCATGCATCAAAACTTTAATTTTTGATGCATGATGATAATAATTTTTGAAGTATATTCAAATAGATGTTTTTCAGTAACATTGTAATAAATTAATAATAGTTAAGTTAATAATTGTATCAAATGCTTCACCTGCTAACATCCTTCTAACCAAAACTTTAAGTTAAGGCTAAAAGTTCTATCTTTGAAAAATGATTTTTTTGTAATAAGCAGAGCATTAAACCTCTAAAACAAATGTTTGTTTATAAAATGTTTTTTCATTTGTTATAGGCTTGTAAGTAGGTTTCAATGTAATGACAATGTGTAAAACATTGTTTGTAAATATTGTTGTTAATGGACATTGTCATTTATTTAACTCAAAGAGATATAATAAGTTTTAAACATTTAATATATATGTTTTGGTCATTTGAGATTTTTTTAATTTAAGATTCATTCATTCAGATTTTTAAAATTAAAACTACTAGTTTTTGACTAAAAGTTTGATATATATACCTAGAATATAATCAGAAATAATAGAATTGATTTTAACTTTCTGTGCCCTTCCTAAAGTAACTGGGAAATTGGGTCAACATATTGTAAACAAGGAGTGGTAAGCATGGCAAGGACAAACCTAATATAAATAATATGGAAAATTATTATAGATAATTCTTATTTACTTATGTAAGGGAACAAGGTCTTCAGCTGTTTAAAGTTTTAACCTCTGACATTATAACTATCTAGTAGTTAGGTACAAACTTTTATTCAGTTTAATAAGAAAATATATAAAGCTTAGAAGCAATGTGCCATAGATACATGGTAAATTTTGAACTTATAATTGTTTGAAGCATGTTAAAGTAGGTGTGATACAGTCTATTGTATAAGCTAGTCCAATAGGAAAAATCAATACACGACCGTCCTACGCAAATAACGATTCATACATATTATCACGAATCGAACGAATTTTAGGAATAATACCAACAAAATGCTAGTATTGCCTTTTACCCCCTCCCCATAAAAATGATTTTCCTAGGCTATTGAAATGAAATAACACCTAACAGCTTCCATAATAATCATTGAAATTCACGAACAAATTGAAGAATGGCCGTGATGTGATAATGCATTTTGTGTTATGTTTTGTTTCGATGCATTTGCCCATGTCAGTCGCGCCGGGTCAACATTGAAGACGAATGACACAAACTCTTTTGCGGCGGCGTAAAGGATAAACCTAAATGAATGGCCATCATGAAGGGGTAGCGCGTTCGAGCAGGCCCAGATAGAATAGAAAGACTACGACTGCGTACGCACCTGCGTGATTTGAAAGACATTTTCCACTCAATTTTGAGCCCCGAGGATCACTGTGATGTAACCGCTTCAAAAAGACACCTTTCGATACTTCAAATCTCAACTGGACATTAAAATAACAAAATTTGAGGAGTGCACAAGGAACACCGAAAAACGCGAATCCTCCATTAATATCGATCGGTAAACTCGATATGTGAACATTGTACACTTCACATCTAGGCGACGCCATTTTGTACGAGCCTGCGCGGTGCGATTTTCTTTTCGTATGGAAAGGGAAACTGCCCCTCGCTGAGGGGGGTAGTACTTTTATTGCAGCAAATCTTTATGCTTAAAGACACATTTCGTGGAAAAACTTACCGAAATTTAGGGCCAATTTTTCCAAAGCAATTGATGTAAGATATGCATTTGGCAACTAGAAAAATACCATTTCAAGTTTATTTTAGAAAACATTAATTTGAAAATTGTCAATTAGATAAAAGTTAGCGCCATCTTTTGTCGTTTTGTATAACGAATTTGACAGATACAGTTTGTAAACAACATCGCAATTTACAGTTTGCACAAAAAAAATATTGGTAGCAGCAGGCTGTAGTTTCATATTTTAGTGAAAAGCATCCTTATCTTCAACTGCATATTATTTTTAGGATTCTCTTAAATAAGAAAAACTCAGCGTCCCCATTTGGTCATCTGGATTTCACAATAAAGCGTAAGTTAGTGTTTTTTTATTTACCGTATTGTTAGTAATTTAAATACTGATACATTTTCGTAGCAATATAATAGAAGATTAATGTAATATTATTAGTATTGTAGAACTTTTCGTAGGCATTAATGTATTTGAGGTTAGGAACTAAACATTTATATGTTTTAGAATTCAGTATATAAATGGGTACCATAATTCTTTTTTTGTTAATAAACGTTTTTTAAAAATCCGGTAGAGGAGACATTACTAGTCAGTCTATTCTTCTTCATTATAATTTAAATATATCAATAAAAAAACAACCGTACAATTATCATTTATTTCATTGTCTTATAAAAATAATTTCTAGACATAATGTACTCTTACAAGCTAAATGACTAATATTATTAACCTTTATATTATATATATTTCTTAATTAAATCACATGTTATTAAGTATTTTATTAGTTTTCACCGAGGCCTCTTGTATTCACCGGATTCTTCTGAAGAACCTGTAACAGAAGATAATTGCAAGTTCCATTAGATAGTTGCTATACTGTTTACATACATATGTTCTTTGCAAGTGAAATATAGACATGAAGCATTGCACAAACCGTATAACTAAGACTGATTTCTGTGTATCACTAGAGAATATCTCAACAACATAGCTATATTTTTTCATGTTGTATTTCTGTTGTTGCTATTACAACGCCCTTGATTTGAGAACTGGTAGTAAATGTAAAGTTAGATTCTTTAATTATTTTGTGATGTTCATAAGTGTACATAGTTACCTACATGAATAAATGATTTTTGACTTGACTTGACAAAAAATACTAAAAACTGAATAAAACAAATATAATAGCTGCTTAGAAAACAAAAGCCATTTTTTGCTCTATTATGTGCAATACAAATAACTGGTAACAGGAGTGCTTACAATAGTCATTTAAATAAAAAAAATGTTGGTTACAGCTCGCATTATAAAAACTGGGTATTGTATATTCTGCCTTGACATATTAGTTAAAATCAAACACTTTTTTTTAAGTGACGATGCGCTGAAGATTATTATACCTATTTGGCGTTGTATATTCGAAAATCGACTGACTAAAACCAAAACGCGACAACAAACTGACCAGGGCGGAATTTCGATATTTCTACAGCCCATTTAACACCCAGACGTAGATGTTTCAGAAAATTATAAATTGATAACCCACGGCCTGTTTATTATTAGTTATATTGCTACAATTAGACCAATGATTCCGTCAAACATCAAATGATTGATTTTGAGCATTTGCTATGTGGTTTAATTTATCATGTCACGTCAGTGTACACCTCAAATAATAGCATACCATAAGTACGATGGCAGTATCGCCCCCGCCAGCCAGGCTCGCACAGGCAGGCACCGCCGCGGCACACGCCATGCCGACACGCCCTGGTGCATTCGCCTCCCCGGCGCCCCACTTCGCAGTGGTTGCCCCCCAAGCCTGCTGGACACCGGCATTTGTTCACCCCTTTGCAACGACCGCCGTTCAGGCATGGAATCACACATTTGGCTGTAAACATAACACTCTATCAATAATGATATGGCATTGTGATGAATCCTACTTCTAATGTTCGTGGTCTTATGTTTCTGTATCCATTTTTTTTATTGACAGAGGAGAACAGACGAGCATGGGATTCACTTGATCGTAGGTGAAATAGTCTTTAGCATGTAAACAGGCTGTCATGCGCTGTCGGCCTATTTTGGCTTTATATATTTTAGAATTTTGATCTTTGAACGTGGTAGATTAAGTCATTTGTTGCCTTCCAAGAGGTCTTAATCAATTCGTCTAGAAAAAATTATGCGTGCATGCCGCAAATCTAGGCAAAACGCAACTCTACATCATTCACACTATCTTTTGGTGGCTGAAAATATAGAATAGATAAATGTACTATTTCTTTACTGTGAGCTTCAGCTAAAATACTTACAAAACTCGCACCGCAACCCATAGTATCCTTTAGGGCATTCACAAGTGTCCTTCTGTATACATTTGCCTCCGTTCAAACACTTCTGCGAGCAGATACCTAAAACAAAATTACTTTACAGATGCTGCGACCTCCCGTTTTCCGTCAAGTGCGTAGGGCACATACTTCTGCTTGGAGTAAAAACCCACAGGTAAGTGCCGAATTTTTATACCCTCATAAAAATCTTTTGATATTGCCAATACAAGATTTTGCCACGGAAGAAGACGTTTATTTCTATTGATTTAAAATATACCGGACTCAGTGTCCATTTAAGGTCGCAATTAGAAAATAATCTATGAATAATTAAATGCGAGTAGTACTTTAAACGTGAGGTTTAAATACGTAGCGCTCGAAACCGTTAGACTAAACAGTTTAAATAATATCTTTTAAAACCTCCATTGTAATGTATGCATAAAAAATCTACTTATGTATAAAAATAATTATGGCTATAAACATAGGTTTTATTTGTAGTTAAATGGAGGGGAACATGTATGTTACCCAATAGAAAGTAACAAAACTTCAATAATTTCAGCTCGATGAAATCATCAGAGTGGACCATGCTGGCGAGTTAGGTGCAGATAGAATATATGCCGGTCAAATGGCAGTGTTAGGAAATACAAAAGAAGGTCCTCTCATCCAGCACATGTGGGACCAGGAGAAGAAGCACCGGGAGAAGTTTGAGGAGCTGATCTCGAAGCATCGTGTTAGGCCAACTGTGATGACACCGCTGTGGAATATCGCTGGATTTGCGCTTGGAGCTGGTGAGTGGTTCATGGATGAATTAGTGTGCAGTTTACATTATTTCGCACTATATATTACCACCACGGTTGATGCAAAGCATCTGAAACGTCGGGCCGAAGTTAAACTAACCCCAAAAATAAATATATGTATATCGCGCTTTAAACCGTTAAAGTATTTTATTTAAGTGACTTTGTCTTCACTTGCGTTATAAGATAAAGAGATTAAGAAGCAAATACCATAAACGCCGTCTTAGACACCATTATGGGCCATGAAACTGACTGACTGTGCTATCAAAGATGTCCTACCTATAAGTATGACCACAATAACACTACCTCCCATGTGTTGGACTGATCTACTGTTAGTCGAGTTTTGGAAGCCTTCTTTCTATTCTAGTGTTGTAAATAATTCAATTATTTAATTTAAGGTACTGCACTACTTGGCAAAGAGGCCGCAATGGCCTGTACAGTAGCTGTGGAGACTGTCATAGTAGACCACTACAATGACCAGCTGCGAACGCTAATGGAAGATCCTCAGATAGATAAGGAGATCCTGGAAACCATTACCCAGTTCCGAAATGAGGAACAGGAGCATCATGATACCGGGATAGACCATGGCGCGGAACAGGCGCCGTTCTACCAAGCCCTAACCGAAGTTATAAAGACTGGCTGCAAAGTGGCCATAGCGATTTCAAAGAAGATATGATTTAATTAAATTTTGGTTTTAGAATAGGTATATTTTTGTAAATAAATAAAATCTTAGTTCTAAATTTTAGTATTAACTTTTCTCCTAGTTTTTAGATTAAGAAAAAAAAATTAAGTCTGCAAATAAATTTTTTGTAAATTAGTTTTTCTTATTTTTTTGTTTTGCTAATAAGCATATTGAAACAAATTTTTTAAACAGAATTAGATAGTTGAAAACTTCAGAAATGGAATAACGTATATGTAGTTTAGAGCACATGATGCCACTGAAGCAACGGCAGATAAACCCCCCGAGTTGGTTCCAGGCGTTAGGTGGACCACTCATTAAACAGTGTACAACGTACATTAATAATAAAATACGTACTTTTTGTTTGTATCTATTGTTAACAAAATAAAATTAAAAGTTCTTGACTTGACCACGACTAAGTGAGCCTTTCCTGGTGCCAAAGTTGGATCCGCTCTTGCACCGAAGTCGGTATAAATTATTAGATTTGTTTCAATTGCGAGGATAGGTAAAACGATGCAAACACACCTTTAATTAAGCAATGTTGGCAAGTGGCATGATGTTTTTCAGTTAATCTGTGTCGACGTATCTTGTCTTCAGGTTTGGCCTCAAGCATCACAGATAAGACAACAACAATGTTATCGTGGTCACGTATAATATCTAAGGCCAAGGTTTTAAATACTAAAACGTGGGAGATAATGAAATATTATCTCAGTTTATAAACAAGGGCTATCCTCTTGAGATTGTGAAATTAAATATTTATATGAGACAATAATCATTTCAGTGAATATTAGAGTTTGTAAATAGCAGAATATATAATTGCCACGTGATTTATACGATACATCAATCATCTATGAAGGATTACTTTTTAATCCTAACATAACTAATCTTATTAGCTACTGTTTTTTAGGGTTTGGAACTACTTTCAGTCTTACCGTCATAAAATCTTTGAGTCTGTTATAATGTATTACAAAGTAGGCATTCAATCATGTGAAATCACGAAAGATTATTGTCAGTTGTCTAATTTATCCTTTTGTATTAGTATTAAAATATAATAAACGGAAAAGACTAAGTTTACAATGATTTGTCTCTGTCTCGCAAATTACATTTATAGCCCGAATGAAAGAGACAAAAAAGAATCCTTGAACTATAAACTTTACTCCTAACGTTTAAGAGTTTCTCTGATGTCCTTACCTCCTTCACAATGCCTTCCCTGGTATCCAGGTGGACAAGAACAGACCCCCGGAGCTGTACAATTCCCGCCATTCATACATTGAGGGTAGCAAAGTGCCGTTCTACAATGCTGTCCCATATAACCGTCTGGACATTGACATATTTTTTCGCTGTTACACCAGCCTTGATTCGCGCACTTTTTATCACATTCCGGATCGGGACCTGCAAATTGGTAGCTATTAACAATAAATATAATAAAAGGAAACATATCATTCCTTTTTTCGACAGTAGATGGCGTGGAAATTAAGTCAAAGTACATAAGATTTTTGAAGCTTATAAAGAAGAAGTTAGTATTATATAGAGCAAGCAGGTACGAACCTAAAATACAAAATGTTGTGAGCAGAGGCACCGCGAGTTGGGGCGTTGAGCGCGCTCGTAGGGGCCCGGAAACAAGGCATTTTGTTAATGTTGCCTGGTAGACACAGGCTCATCAATGACTTATTAGTAAAGAAATTCCACAGACATTGACGCCTTAGTAAAAGTAATACAGTTACATTTAAAATATTCGTGCTGTAATGGTCCACTCAATTCATTGATTAAAAACCTTCTTCAAGTAACCTTGAAATTTTAACACCCCTCAAAAGAGGTTTAATTTAGAATGTTTAGTCTATTTTTAAGTAGAACAACAATAGCCAATTACTTATAGTATACGACGTCAATTACTGTATTGTTCAAAGCACATGAACACTCGCGCTACGTACAAACGAGCCAATATATTTTACATGTAATAACAGCTAGACTCGTAAATGTATTATTAGTAGCGAAAGCATTTACGACCAAACTCCGAATACAATGCGGTAAGTGTTCTTGGCTTTATACTAACATTTCGTATCAGAAGCATGATTTAGAATTAATAAGCTTGAATGAGAATCTATAATTGAGATACATAAGAAATAGGCTTTTTGACACTATCAAAATGTACCTACACAATACCTCAATCTAGTCAAATTGATATGAAAAGTATTTAAATGTAAAATATAATAGTAACTGCTACAAAGTATAATACATTGTGTAAGGCTTTTACGGCCATCGTTCAGCATATCATTGTTTTTCGGCCTGTCCGGCCGACGTAAGCGAGAAGAGGTTCTCGACATTTCGCCGTCACGAGCTGACTGCATCATAATTCTTCGAGCAATCGAGGAGCTAACAACATCTCCCGAAAATGCTGTCCGCTCGTGATGGCGAAACGTCGAGAACCTCTTCTTGCTCACGTCCGCCGAACAGCCCAAAAAACAATGATATGCGATGCAAGTTTTAATATTAAATACCATTTCGTCAAAATGTTTTGATTGGCTTAATTAAAAATGACGTCACACACTTGTAATATCCATTAGGCTCTTTATACCCAACAGTTTTTTTAGGTTTAACAATTATCGTTTCAAAACGTTAAAAGTTAATATTTTTTAAACAATTACGCTCTTAGCTTCAAAGTAATGCAAGTAAGTATTGTAATAAGCAGTCAAATAGCCCATTCTTATAGCACAAGTAATTTAGAGTCTCTAAATAATTAAAAAAGCAATACGTTTGTATTTTGGACTTTGTAGATATTTGATTTAAAGTAGTTTTTTTTGCGTTAGGTACATTACTTTGTGTATGAAACAAATTTTATATATACTCGACTTTCAATAAGAATTTTGAAAATAAAAATGTTATAAATAACCACAAAAATCCAAAGCACAAACGTTCAAGGTGTTAAAAATGCGTTGGCGATACAATACCTGTCCTTTCTAAATACACACCTCTCTGTGCGCATTCCTTTTTTAAATTTAGCCTTAATGGCGTTCCTTTTAACGGAATTCCGCGACCGTTTTTCAGTACTAAACCTATTTCAAACGTCGCTACTCCGCTGACATTACCCATGCAGGGTAGGAATATGCTAAATTCTGAAAAAAAAAAACTAAAGCCTTTATATCCACCTTCGGCGTGTATTTTAATGAGACTGCATTTAGATGTAAAATTATAAAATGATGCTAAAGTTGTGTTTCAATCGCACCGGCGCCGACGCATGAATTTCGTAGTCGGATTGTCACATAAGCGCATTCAACGAAACAAACAACCACATTGTAATAATCAACCTTACCTTTAGGAGTTTTAGGTACCCTTCCCTGGGTCTTAATAGATAAAATAGGAGGCTTCAACACCTTTAGATCGAAAGAAGTAAGTGTATCAAAATTATAATAATATCTCTTTTTCGATCTCCATGTAAAATTCACGTATCCAACTTCAGATGGTATTATGGGCAGCTTGTGCGAAAAGTTTGGATCTAATATGTAAGGTTGTATATTTCCATTCTGTATTGCAAATACTTGCATAGAAATACCTGTAAATGAACAAACTTGGGTTAAAGCTATGCTAAGTGGCTTTTGAACTGCGTGCTAGTCAGATGTTGGCTAATAATCTCATTAGTTTACGTTATCTCAATAAAGAGCGGTTAACTGGACTTTATTAATAAATCTAAGTTCCGGTCTTGGATAATTCTACAGATATTTTTTATGATAGAGGAAAACGGAAAAGTTCACTTGTACACTTGTTCACTTGTTCACATATAACATCTACGCAAGATGCGCTCTCGACCTTTTTTGGTGTTGCATATTCGGAAATCCACAGACAACCGAAACGCGAATTAACTTCACGACTTTTTACATCTTTGGAAGAAATTTTAGATATTTTCACCACCCATGTAATATGCATTCTGGACGAAGTCTAACATATTTCAGAAAATGAATGATTAGACTCGGTGGGGATCGATCTCGCGACCCATTTTTTAGCTATGCATTGCTACTATAGTAACACATTTAAATAGAGCACTTCAACGTTCAAGCAAACGTTTTATTAAATAATTTTAACTAACCTATTTCGCGTTCTTAACCGTTAGTGTTTTATTTAAACAAAAATAAAGTTTACTAATTAAAATGTATATTTTATTGTCAGTATTATGTTATAACGACTGAACAGATTTCGATAGATTTCACGTCCCTATGAACATCTTAAATAAAACATTACCACTGAACATCCTGACTTGTCTCTCGTCAATCCAGAGCGATATGTCTGAGTTCATTCTGTCCTGGTCCTTGTAGTCCCTTCGACCAGCTCCCATCGTCAGCGAGAGAGCCAAAGCCAGCCCTGCGCACACCTGTGCTGGCCAGGAAGCTGACGGCCACATCCTGAAATATAAACAAGTTAATTTCAATACACGACTTACAGGAAGGAATGGTGACTGAGGGAAGGTAACAAGTTTGATAGAAGAGATAAGTGCAAACTAATATAAATATTTTTCAATTCGAATGATTGAAAATACTTCTACAATATGTACAGCATTGAAATAGTAAGAAATAAATCCAAAACTGGATTGTAGATTGAAAAGTATTTACGACACCGGCAGGACTCAAACCGACATCCACAACGTTCTGTGTGTTGCTCTAACCAATAGACCTAGTGGTCCTGTGTATATTAAAGGTTAAAAAAGAGAAGTAAATGTGTAAGTTATAACCATTATAGTTAAAATGTTAGTCTTAAGGTAAATGCTAATATAATAAATTAATAAAGTTATCTCTTATATAATTAAGTCTTATACAATTAATAAAGTCATTTCTTTTGATATCATAAATTAATATTGATCAGGTATAATATTTGTAAAGTCTTACATAGTAAAATAAAAAAGTGACTTGATTGTTTTAAAGAAAAAGTAACCCTTTATTCAATTAAAGATAAGACATTACGCATTTCTATTGTAAAACAGATAAGATTTTATCAAATGGCCGATAAGACGAGGAAAAGCGTAAAGCTACCCAAAATACTCTAAATCACTGAACTTTATCTAAATAATAAGCGTGTAACAGGCGTATAATATGTTTGTTGAGCACACAAATAACTCAGGGATGTAATAAAAAAAAGTGAAGAAAACAAAATTATCACAGTTAACATAATTGATTGGGACGCTCCCGACTTGTCCTCACAATGGTTGCCCCGTGAGAACGAACCGACGTAAAAAATCCGACAACTTCATTAAATATCCCCTGTCAAAAGTAATGTCTATTACTTTTTTCTCGCTCCCGATCTCGAATTATACTAACAAATAAAGGTGTTAACAAAAAAGTCAAGTCTATCTATGAACAGGAGTGATCAACATTTTTGTCTAACGGCCGGCCCCAATATTCAACTTACCACTAACTTTAACTGCTTACCGGGGATATCCGTCTCTAACTGACAGTAAGTTATTGGGGCCGGCCGTAAGAATAGTCCAAAGCTACTAACGCGTGTTTTCTTAAAAACTAGGTATGTGCAATAGTTGTACAAATATCTGTACTGCAGAATTAAATGACATAAAAAACATGGATACGGTTTTGGACCAATCCGGATTTCTTACTTCCCTTTTTATAAAACTTTAGGTATCATGAAGTATTGTACGTATAGATATTAACAACTTATTCGTATATCACAGTTTTAATAACACAACAACTCGCAAAAAAGTCTAAATTGCTTTTGTGTGATAAATTGATTGTTATTGTTTGGTATCAAAACAGATAACCTATAATTAGCGCAAGCGACCATCCATGATAATTTTATTTTCCGTAATAATCGATAAAAATACTCACTTTTTTTGTTTGTAATCATGGGAACACAACGTTACAAAAACATGTACCTATGTTATTTTACGTCAGAGAAGGACAGAAAATCAAAAATGCTTGACTATCTTTCTAGACTTGATGGTAGGAAAGAAGAAAACGGCAGATTGAAACAGAAAGGCAGATTTACCGCTATTCTATCTTAAAAGGGATTGTGACCTGAACGGAATTTCAATTCAGTTTCAATGTTGTTTTACACAAATTATTAATTATTTTATAAGGTAAGGAATCATTGGTGTCTAGCTACAAATTGTTACCACGAGCCCGTCAAGTATGGTAACGTATATTACAAAATGTCGTTTATATTCTTTTTTCAACGAGTCTGCTCTGAGACGAATGCTGACCAATTAACTTCACCATTTATTGTCTTGTGTCTGGCGTCTTAATCAATATGTCGTTTGAAGTAACGAGAAGTCATATGCATTTACGAGACTAATATACGACAGTTGGAAAACTTGAATATTTTTCACATGTTATTGCACATGATTGGTTAGAGTAACAGCACGGAACGCTGTGAATGCCGTTACAAGTCCTGCCCGTGTCATAAATTTGTTAAATTTTTAATTTATACGACAGTTTATTATGTAGTCATTACTACACGCATGTTACACGCAGGTAGTATTTACTTCAATAATACGTTATATTGTTGTTACTAATTAGGGTTTGATTTTAAGGAATATAACTTTTATCTTATCTGTTACTTTGTATGTTCTTGGTTTTCACCAATAAATTAATCTGAACTTGGGCAGTAATTTAGAGATATAGTATCTATGAGTAATAGCGTAAATACGATTCAAAAACTATTATTTTCTAATCAACCAGCGATGTCCAAAGAAATATTTATTATCTCTTAATCATAGTTACTTTTTCATGAAGACGTTTCGCGGGAGAATGTTAGTACTGTATAGAGCTTCATCAACGCGTCGTGAGTTCAGTCCCCACCAGGTCCAACGTGTTTCTAATTTTTCAATTTATAATTTTTCTGAACATGCTGGACTTCGTCTGGAAATCTGGGTTGGGGTAAGAATATCGTAATTCCGTCCGGATTACGAACCACCGTCCAGAAATGAACAACTGAAACTTAATTGCGTTTTAGTTTCAGTCTGTGGATTTCCGAATCCAAAGCCAAAATACGTCGACAACGCAGCTCGTTTAGATGCTATAGACTGGGGTATATCACCCCATGCCATGTCTGTCCTCCTCAGTCATTAAAAAAAATATCAATAATTTTAAGGGACGCGTCATAAAATGGACATCCTGCGATAACGGGTTGCGACGTGCGAATGACCCCGCGGTGTGATGCGGTTTTGCGAAATTAATACCGACTTCGATGCTTCCGATGGGATAGTCTGTGGTTAACCAGAACCTTGGGCAACCGATGTAAATTAATGCTCTCACAAGGCTGTGTCGTATTGGAAGACGTTTACTTTTCACATAGGTGCGATAATAATCTAGTCACTATATTATAGATTTAAATGAAACAAAGCAAAGGCTTAAGCCGCTTAATATAATAGATAAATTTCTATGAGAATCATTTTAAATGTTTGTTTCACATGCTTTCCAGCCGTAGTCACGGGAAGATGTTATATCTTATAGGCGAAATCATTTACTTACTACCTTTAGCGGAAATTTTATAACTGGTTGTGATTATAAATTTTATTCACCTATTCTACTACTTTTATAATTAAATTTTATAAGTTTAACTTGACACGAATTTGGTAACTTCTAAACAATAGAAATAAGCCCTATATTGATTAATCTTCAATTAACTAAAGTATCTGAAGCCCTATTTACATATGACACAATCAAGGTAAGAACAGGTTTCATAGTGGTTAAAAAATAATAGATTTTCTTTAATAAGATTTTTTCTCCTAAAACTAAGAAATATACAATGTAAATCCGTCACGGTTATTAAATCGAACAAAGGTTGCACACTCCTGCGGTGCACTTGTTAAGTTAACCAGCCGTGGAGTGGACCCGTTCGGAAACAGGTAACCACGTAAAAAGTAAAAAAAAACCACCTCAAGCTCCTGTCCTGTCCACGCTTAGTCCGAGGCCCGAACTATTCATTACGACACTATTGTGGTCAATTGATATCTATAAAAATGTTAATTCAATACTCACTGTAAAAAACAAATTTAAAATCCTGAGGTAATCTACTAAACGGCTAGACTGTTTCGATCATCAGCTGATACGGAATAAAGTATGCTATTTTATTTAGAAAAATAATATAGATTTAATGATTATTTTAATAACTTACTACGTTATTACAAGACCTATAAAAACATATTAAAAAAGGAGGTCAAGCTTTCGTTATAACTAGCCAAAATAAAAAATGAATCTCAAAAGCGTAAAGACTAAGGCGAATATCTCTTAATTAAATATTGGTTTTGTGTGCTTTTGCTTAAACGATAAAAATATACAATGCGAAATTGATTTCTAGTACTAAACTGTCCCTGTATGATTGATGACAATCCTTATATTAAATTTATATCTTCTTTAAAAATACTATTGGGAAACGAGGAGAAAATTATTTTATTCGTATAATGAAATTGATTTATGAGCCTATTGCAAATTTTATGCTAGACTTAAAACAGGGAGTATAGTAGCTGTTAAAGACAACAGATGAAATTACTAATTTGTAAATAAAATCAAGATAAAGCTCAGGATGTAACTACTATCAGCTTACAAAGTTGCGCCGTGGCATTCCGAGATAAGAGATATTAATATCAAAGATTAAAATAACACTTAAACATAATCTAATAATGTACCGAGTTGGGCAGCATTATATCTTAAATTTAACATACTATTAAATGAAGAATCATTTAATGAAATAAAATATTTACTTTTAAATTGTTACCTTTTTCGTGCTTTATTTTATTACAGACTATACCGTTTAATTGATAAAATCGTCAGATATACTTATTCTCTGTAATTATTTATTTATTTAGTACAAATAGAATTAAAGTCAAATGTTTGCCGTCAATTAAAAAAGTGCACAAGTTAAATCCACAGTAAGTACTTACAACAAACGTATACAAATCACAGTCACCCTTACATATGATGCGCTGAACACACTATAAATAGCTAGATGTGTTTACATGTCCATACCTAACTTTGGTTTTTAAGGTTTAAAACAAACTACGAATCACTAAGTTAGGTTAATCTTTAAATTAAAATCGTATAGGTTTTCAGTTACATAGTGATAAGCTTATTAATATCAAAGTTTTGAAGCGGGTTAAAATTGCGATATCAAAATGTTCACCTGTTTCTATTAACGCCAACTTAAATGGTGGATCACGCAATCATGTCTTTAAAAATTCGTTGCATTAACGAAATAATTTAAACACGACACAGCACGTTTTATCCCAACTACAATCGGGCGCAGACTGCCCGTGTATCGAGAACCCATTGAACAACAAACTTTGTTTACCCCTTGTTTTAATAAAATGTGTCTTATTTTAAATGCAGTAAGGGTCAAGCTGAACGCACGTATAATCCTTATGTGATCAACGATATTTCAAAAAGGACAATGGATATAATAAAAACACATTCGCAAAGTAGCCACGTCTTTGTTTCACGGACAAAAAGTGCTGGGACCCGTAGGGCTATGTTTGCCGGATTTTTATATTGGATTAAGGATTAACGAGTTATGAGAGCGCTGATTTTTTATAGGAGGTTTGATTTAATATAAATACATAGTTACTCGTTAAGATTATATCATTTTGTGACATAAAATTGTTTATAATAAAGAAACTAACCTAAGTAATAGTGCGAAAAATAGTAACTCTAAGCTAACCAGAAAATACTTCTTACATTATTTTTTTTCCATCGCTGTATTTAACATCAGATGGAATATAAAACAGCTAAAATAATATTTGGGCTAATATGACCTACTATAATTTTAAAATGACGAGATATAAAATATTGTTAATTAGCATCAACGTACAATATAACGCCTTATGATAAATTCAGAGCAATGGCGTGACTTTTCCCCGATTTGTAACTATGCTCGTCTTGCATATGTAATAACAATTTATTCACAACATGAAGGGACAATTGGCATACAGCAGTCTAATTAGCAAAATATTAAACCATCTAGTCTTATGTCGTTTAATTAAATAAAACAAACACCGAGTAATTTCTTAAAATTTATTTTCTATGCAACATAAAAAAATATCCATCATAGTTACAATAAATTACCGTCATCACTTAATGCGAAACAAAACTTTAAATTATTTAATTCGTGAAAAGAATCTCGTGTGACAACACACACGACCATCTGCAGTGTTACATTTGTTTTACATTTATACAAATGGAACACAGTATCAACCAATGTTGTTTTACATAATTCGCATTCTTTTTAGCAATTTCAAGTTTTTTCTTGACAGTTTATATTAGCTATCATGAAAATACATTAAATTACAGCTAAAAAGAGGCGTTTTTATACAATTATAAACATGCTGCCTGAGGTTAGCGAAATGATGACATTTGCAATTCAAAATGGCGGTATTAACCGCGCACGCGCCTTAACGCCACAGATATAACGCACATCCAATCTACCGGATTACATAATTATACAGATTTCTTAACAGTACTCAACTATGACATCAAAACCTCAACTATTTGATACATTCTCAATCAGATCTACCAATATTAAACGTTAATTTGTCGTTCTATTAATAATACGCCGTTGTCGGATTAATATTCACTTGTGACTTGAATAAATGCAAAATTGTGCATAGATTTACCGTGGGTAAAGGGGGAGGTTCACTTCTCGAGTTGTCATAAACGTCACATTACCTTATTGGTTGTAATTTATATACTAAACTTTTGAATCGTTAGTAGAATTAGGATAGTAAATTATTTTCATCAAGGAAATCTATTTTATTGTAATATTTCAAAGTCAGTTCAATTGATTAGTCAGATTTGTATATATTATTCGTTTTTTTTCTTTAGTTGACGAAATGCGAAATGCCGCAGCACGTCTAAAACTTATCAATACTTAAGGCAAGTGTCGACTAACGGGTACTAAGATAGATAAAATGAACACATACATAAACATCTCAAGGGGAAGGCAGTGAAGTTTATCACCGTAATTTTACATCGAGTGGTCAACAATGTCATTTTGAATGCTAACAAATTCGATTAATATTAACATGTGGTTAAAAAGCGAATAGACGCGTTCCGAACAAGGCTCATCTATATTTAATTAAAGATTAAATGTCAGGTTGTGCGAGTTTTATTAGAATACAGGTTATTCTAGGTGACGATTCAGTTGTCAATTGTGGACTGATTAAATCTTAGAAAGAGACAACACTATCCAAGAGACACTATCTCTTTGTAAAACTTTCTGTTCCCTTCGCAGTTTCCCATACATTGGGATCGGTCTAATTTTTACTGTTATAAGTGTATTCTAATAATCATCCACTACACCCAAACAGTATTATATAATATTAAATTCTTACTAATAGACGTGATAAAGACTCCTTAACAAACAACTCAAAGGGGCTACAGTAACAGTGCCATTAAATATAATGCAATATATAAGGTACAAGTGGTTACACAAGCTCTAAATCAGAACAAGAGGTGCTCGCAAACAATATTAAATCGACGTATGGAGGAACCTGCTACAGACATATGAAAAAAACCATGTGAAAGGAACGTATTTTTAAAGAAGCTGAGGCCCTTAACTAGGAATAAAAGGAAAGCCACAAAAAGATAACGTTGTTTTTAGTATATGCCTCTTTTACATTTTATTCTGTATATTATTTTGGTTGGTATATTTCATATGTCTGCAATGCAATACACCGACGGTTCTAGTTTTGGTCGGTATTGATGCGTTTACATAAAGTTTAGTATATTTAATAGTTTATAATTTAAATAAGTTTGCGTAATTTTAATGTGTGAATCTTCTCTTTAGTTAAAAGATTTTAGTGTCTCTTGTTCATACATTTGTACCTAGAACCGTCAGCGTAGGAATATCGTCAGTCCAGTTTTTAAAACGTGACAGATTACATCTGACTGACGCGGAACGAATAAATACACCAAATTAACATGGTTAAACCGTGGAATGTTCTAGGACCCGACACCTTTCAGGCGTTCATAAATAAATATATGACAATAAACGTTGAGCAAAACTTCAACTGTACAGTCGAGCAGAAAATCACAATAAAAACTATGTATTTATAACTACCAAAAGCTTACTGTACTGTTCTGTATGTACTGTTTCTATAGGTCAATGTGTATATCGCAACCCATTTTTTAATAAAATTATTCGGGTATAGTCAATATTTATTAACTAAAATTGTGCACATCTGCCACAGGTTTCTTATTACAGTTTTATACACGACTGTACCCTTGGAACTTTGCTATCGACCGTGACAATAATTAGATAACAGGGGAAAGGCGTAGTAATAAATAAGATGCGAAGCGAACGCGTTAGCTGCCTAACATTAGTTAACACGAATCTTAAATCTAGCACATACAATTGTGTCCACAAAAGAGAAAGACCGTTAAAACACTCTAGATTCCGAGGCACCTAAAGGAAATACTTAGTCGCATTGAGGATTGGAAACTGGTTAATATGTGAGATGCAACTCCACGAAGTCGATTGGAAATAGTTAATATAAAAAGCCTTATACTAATATATTATTTCCGTCGAAACGGATTTAATTCTGTAAAAATATAGGGTAGAGAGCATACGATAACGATTCATTTGAGATTCAGATTAAATATCATTTTCGCGTAAACTTATGCGTCTTGTTGACCGCGTTCCGCACGTTTACAAACTAAGTACACTTCGCTGGGGACGCGGTTTCGGGCCGTCAAGCTAGCTTCAAATTGACCGCGTGGTGTCCATGGAAGAATAGTATAAGGGAGGCTCTCTTTAGTATTAAGCACCTTTACACCTTAATGCAATTGGATGTTGATGCCAAGATTCGCTTCTCGTTATATTTCTTTTGTTCTCATAAATTTCTCGGCATACTTTATATTATTTCTCCATGGGCTTGCTAGTGTGCTCTTACGCTACATATCATACAATCACAAGAGCGACAGAGCGCCATCTTCCGCAAAAGCACCAACATCGACCGGCGATCAAACTTCACTTCGTAATAGACTTTCTGTATTCTCATACAAAAATATATTTTTTCGTTTTCTTTCGATGCTTTATACTCGATTTTGTACTGATAAAATACTGTTTATTTGAATATCACAAGGGTTGAAAAACGATTATTTGAAAATATACGGTGTTATAGGACTTTATGCGTAGGCGAGCTTAACACAATTTCTTTGTTTCACACTGTTGCTTCATACTTGCTCTTATGTAGCTGCGTTATAAGTACGAACATTGGCAGTACATACATGGTATTATAATTCAATGCGCGCCAAAAATAAACACTAAATGGTCCATTCGATATGATTTAGATATAAAAATAACTCTCGACTGATAAATAGAATTTTCGTTTAATAGTAAATTGACATTTCCAGAATATATTTCGCTTTTAGGGTATTAACCTTTTGAGAAGGAAGTTTGACCGCCGGCTACCACCAGAGCTAAAAAATTTACATCAATATCGTGACAAAAATAGCTTTCACGTCTAAATTGCGGCGAAGCAAGACATCTATTAGAAGAAAATATTGTTGCCTTTAAGTGAAGAGCAGATAAACTATCGTGTTAAGAAAATGCCACCGCTTCGCCACAACATAGAGCCTTTCCTTGCTTGCTTACCTTCCTACCTTATTTAATTGATATCGAGCCAGATCTTAACCTACGAATCCAAATTAAACCTCGAAGCATGCCCGTATTGAGAAAATAAATAAAAAACACTAAAGAGATTACTCTCACTAAAGAGCTCACTCGTCAATTGAAAATTATTAGACATAGTCATTACTTAAAATCAGTCTCATAAAACAAATCTATTTTATGCGTTCACTTGGCTAATTCACTATTGCAGTTGCGTCAGAACGACATGGGCTCAAGAAATGAGAATACGACGTAAAGCTAACGGCCCATGTCAACGTATAAATTTTAACTAAGATAAAAGATATTAGCTACATATAAAATACATATAGGCTTAGTGAGGACTGATATAGAGATACAGTTAATACAATTTTGGACAAAAATATTATGAAAGAACGACACGCTTCTAGAATTAGTAATGCTCTGTGACCTGCACTCGGAAAATTATATATTATTTCGGAACACTATTAATTCCATAATCGGCTACCTACACAAACTTCGAAAATCACTGTTTTTTTTTTAACATGATAAAATAAACATTGATTAGATACAATTAATTCCTGGTGCATTATTTTAAACATTTAGTAAGAACAGGATAACTTCACACTGTTATTTTTACACGAAATAACAGCGACTAAGAACCGTGATCTTTGAAAAGAACATGAGTTTTTCATGGCCACAGAGGCGTGTCATAAAGGTATTTAGACGTATGTGGGCGGTTGCTGGGCTGCGCCGTTTGTGGCGGGTGGCGGCGGCGCGGGAGGAGGGGGCAGGACGCGTGCGCCAGGCACGTACTGCCCGATAAACGAACCGTCCTCCGTGAAGCGACCTGAAGAGTAAAAGCAGTTTATTATAAAGTGTTTACACATTGTTATTATACATGACTTAATAAATTAACTGTTAGCCAATTTAGTCTAGTTTCATAGACATACTAAAGTAAACAACGTGACGACTTCATTTGTAAACTTTTACTCTAGCGACAAATGACAATCAGTATTGATAAAACAAGTATGTAGTGTGAAAGCTTGCAAAAAACTAACATGCTTAAAAATAACAAAAAAAACTCAACTCACCTCACAAAACAAAAAGAAAACGAAATGGCTGCTGTGCGCTAGCAATTTAGGAAAGGTGAAAGGGACGGAAACTTGACACGTCTATCTATTCTACTCTAACAATAAATGCAAAATCATAAACTCAACGCAAGCTCGTGCTAAAAAATATAATCTACATATTTAGAAAACATTCACTGCTCACTCATTATACACTAATAATATCTTTTATACAACCTAATTACATATATGTGTACTTAATTATGTTCTAAGTAGCATAAGTTTGAGATTGAAGGACGCTTGGGGTCTTAGTTAACTATTTTTGAAATAGTCGAAAAGACAACGCCCGTTTGTCGCTATGATAAAGTAATATGAGGTGTGCATACTGTATTTTCAGCAGGAATTCTATAAGTTCAGGTGAAATAGGAAATTCTGAGATTCGAACACAACCAATAATAAATTGAAACTTCGGCGGGCGATACGTCGTTCACCGGACCAATCGGAACGAAGACATAACATTCTAAGTCGATTGGTTGTAATTTTGACACGCAATTGCATATTTTTCGAAAATATTTGTGATGCCTTAAGCAGAACTATTACTTTTCTTACAGAATTTGTCAAATATTAGAACTTAGGAGATAACAAAATGGCGCTTTTAATCACAAGCATTAAATGCATTAATTGATATTTTCAAAGGCCATAGTGATGTGTTGTACTGGGAGAGGGGAGGTTGAGGTTAATAGGATAACACTGGAATCGGGCTCTAGACGAGAGTGGCGAAGGCCTGCGATGCGGAGTCCTGGTGGGAGGCGGCCGGGGGCCGTCGCTTGCGGCCGTACTGACCGATGAACGATCCATCCTCGTTCATGCCGGCTGCGCATGCGCATACACACAGACATGCCACAATTTAACTACATGCTATGAGCGGTAAATTAAAATAAACACAATATAGTCAATGTATGAATACACAAATTCATGCCATGTTTTAAAGGTTTAGTTTATATGTAACGTAATTACGAAAGTAATTGACTATTCAGTTAATTTGTGTATTGTACATTGACTTAAAAATTAAAATTAGAAAATGTAGCAAATTCAACATAAGGTTGTTTAAAAGTCTTGTTCTAGAAACAAGCAAATTAAAAATGAATCGGTAATAAAGTAGCGCTAAATAAACAGCACAAAATAAGGTATTTAAAAAATAGCGAAGAAAACAATTTAACGGGAAGAATACCTGTCTCTCCTTCACCATATTCAGCCATGGAGTCCGTGTCACTTTCTGGTCCCGGTTTGGTTCCGCTGCTCATTGAATGACGAGATTTGCTGTCCAATCTGTAATATGAACAATATGCTTATGACAAGACAAGCTAAACCCATCTCTGAGACCAGTAAAACAAAATTTTTAATTTAAAATAAACACCGTAACGATTTAAAACCCGATATATACTCATTAAAATTATCAGAAAATTACTTTAACCTCGGCCCGACGTTTTAAACCTTTAAAGTGTTCTATTAAAATGTTACCTACTCGCGTACCACAGACAGCATTTCATTGTATTTTAAATTAACTACTAATTATAGTAGTTTGACGAGATAAAAAATATACTAACGGGTGTGTGTACTCATGAAACCCGGCGTCCGGGTAATCAGTTCGCCCATGGGCCAATTCGCGATCGTGCACGTCGTACTTTCCACCGCGGTTCCTTCTCGCGACGCACACGGCCACCAAAACTAGTACGAGGAAAGCTAACGCCACCATCACGCCGATAAACCAGCCGGCCGTCGCCATTGCTTCTTCGCGCATTATTACTGGATCTAGAAAAAAAAACAAATAATATAATTTGTAGGTAACTTTGAAAGAGTTGCTAAAATGTGACTTCAACCCACCAAATAGGAGCATTGTTGTTGAAGATAAAACAATAATTTAAAAGAGCTTAATAGGAGTAGTATGGTACAAATAAATAGTTTTCTAAAGAGTCTGCCAACATTTGGTTTTTAAAGTATGTATTTGATTTGGATAAGTAACTAATATCACTATAAAGTAATTTATTTATGACGTCAAAAACTCAGTGAATGAACTTAAACTATAAACTTTAGCCATGCTGTCAAACCCTGTAATCATAAAAGCTAAACTTACATAACTTACCGGTGGTTGTATCGACATCCATCACTTCACTTGTACTAAAGTATTCACCATCGTGCGCGGTCACCTTTACTTCATACACTTGTCCAGGTTCCAGCCCCGTTAGGACCACATAGTCATCTTCCGTTATTTCGTTACTCCTCAGCCAATTGGGGTGACCCTTGAGTCTGTACCACGCTACAAAATGGCTGCCAGCGTGGCCGTCTAACGAAGGTAGCCAGCGCACTAAGATATGCGCTGATCCCTCCTTAGCTGGGAGGGTACTAGCTTGGAATATTGGTATATCAGGGACGGCGTTAACCATCGCCTTGGTAGTTTGTTCCACATAGTACTTATCTCCTTCCCCAGCTTTCGTCTTAGCTCGGATCTCGATGCGGTATTTGGTGTTCGGTTCTAGTCCAGCTAGCTTGGCTCTGTCGAGTTTCGGGTCTATCTCCTTCTTCCTTTCCTGGAGCGGACCTAAGGAGGTTCCTGTGACTTTCTGGTAGTAGATTTTATATCCGGTTAGAACACCGTTTTCATCCATCGGTTTGTCCCACTTTAGAAGCATAGCTGAGGAGCCGATAGGGTAGGCTTCAAAGGACTTTACTGTCCCCGGTTTCCCCTCGGGAGTAACGAAAGAGAGGATTTCGCTCGGCGGTCCGTTGAAACGACCATTGTATACGAGGATGCGGGCGTTATTCTTCTTGAACGGTTTGAAAACGGACACGAGGGCGCTTGAAGCATCTGATTTTACAAGTACTTCCTTAAGTCTGTCTTCTTCACCATCAACCTAGATGCAAGCGTAATTTAAATTAACGACATCACATTAAGATTTATCAATCTCTTTATAAATGTGTTATACAAAAAGTAGAAGTAAGTTCCTATATAAATAATCTCAATATTTTAATATTTATTTGATTTCTAAGATGAACTTGCTTATTTACAAATAAGTTTAATATTAAAATACAAATTTTATGCTTTACCCATGTCTGGATCTTGTATCCTTTGAAATGTCCTCGGACTGACTCCGCGGGCACCGGATTCCAGTTAAGAAGCGCCGTTGTACCCGTAGTGATTTGCACTAGCGAAAAGTTCGCTGGAGACTGAAGGGGCGTGTCTTCGCCAGACCAACCGATGACTTCGACTGGGGCCACGTTAGATGTTCCCTTGGAGTTTACTGCTATCACCTGTAACATTTTTAATTATCATCAGCCATTCACGAAATTCAAATGAATGATAATCTATTTAAAAGAAATGTTCCTAAAATTTGACGTAGCCCTTTTCTCTGGCGACCTGTAAGTTTTACATCCAAAAATGTATAACAGTAGAATCTCATAGAAATAGAAGGTTATAAATACAAACATAGAAAAAAATTACCTATTTAACGGATAAAGTTTTCTCCTAGTGATAAAATGCATAACGTACCACACGCATGTCATTCTTCTATCGGGGCCACCCTTGGCAGGACGGGTGATCAGTCCACGTTGTCCGCTGACCATTTCACCCAATGTCATTCTTAATAATCTCGCGAAACGATAATATTTTTTAACATGTTTTCTTTTAAGTAGCGTGGGTGACATGGCACATTGCACGCATTAGTTTACATACCTTGATCTTGTACGGCTGGAACGTAGGCGTATTCGGCACGACGTACTCCGACTGGATCCATTCTCGAACCTGTTGCTCGCTCCATGGCGTTCCGCTGATGTTACGACGCCACGACACTTGGTAGTAGAAGCCGGGGCCATTGTGTTCGATTTGAGGCATTTTCTGTAATTATTCAGACAAATTTTCTGTAAATATTTGTCTGAAAAATACATTACGCATTTCATACACGAAAATGCCATGATTGCTTAGATGATATAATTGTGATTGGCATGTAAAACCATATATAAATAATTTATATAACAAGAACGTAATCTAAACAAGTGCTTCGCTTAAGGGCGCGTCAGGGCGGCCCTGACAAAATTACAGCTGTAAAAAACTGTACTTAGGAAATTTTAATCTCAGAATTTTTCCTTATTAAGAAAAACGATACTAACCGACCAAGATATGACCATATTAGTGGGATCCGTTCCCTTCCCTTCCACATTATCCGGATTCTTATAAGGCACGTCTGGTTGAGTTGTACAAACGTCCGAATGTTTTGATGGCGTTGACGGTCCGATTTTATTCCAGGCGATGACCCTGAAGGTGTAATTAGCCCAGGGACTGAGTTCCACTGTCCAGGACGTATCAATGGCTGGTACAGAGTCGGATGCGGAGAGCCAGGTGTCCGGAGTAAAAGAGGTATTGTATTGGATCGAATAACGGAGGATCGGCGCCCGATTGTCGCCCATGGAGTGCCACCGAAGTGTCGCCACTTTCTCGTGACATTCGATGCCTTCGAGCGCGGGGGGGTTGGGCTTATCTGAAACATTGCGATATAAAGTTAACAATGGAAAAAGTAAATTGAGTGTTATTTATTACTATTTCATTGTTATACTTTTTAAATGTTAACACGCTTGAAGCTGAATTCAATATTTGGATGGTTAAAATATAAAGCAGGTTGAATTAATTCGTAAAATTACGATAAATCTTCTTTGGTTACTGTTGCTGGTGTTTCTTAATTATTCTATAAAAATACTAAAAGTTACGTAATGATTTGTCTCTTTCGCTCAAATAGTATTTGTGACCTAAGCAAAAAGCAATTCAATTTCTGACCTTGTACAGTCAAAGTCGCCTGCGCTCTCGCCTCATCAATGGCTGTTCTAGCTATACATGTATACTCTCCAGAATCAAGTTCAGTCGTGTCCGATATGAGAAGTGAATAGTCGTTGGTCATTCGAAAACGAGGCTGATTGTCGAAGTCGATCGGTTGGCCATCGTTTAACCAGATTATTTCGAGTTTGAGGGAATCGTCTGCATTTGCGTTGCAGCGGAATGTGGCTGAAGAACCGGCTGCTACTTCGTATGGTTCCGGCTTGTCTGTTATCACTGTGCGCTCTAAAATAATACAAATATATATAATTAGCAAAATAGAAAAAATGTCAATAAAAAATGCATAGTGTGTGTGAAATCCCGCTTCCCCCTCGTGGGGCATGGGGCGAACACATTTCTGTGTCGGTTTTACTGATCCGTTCTGTAACAGGCAAGTAGTTGATCAGACTTCTGTACCCTGCTTGACTAAAACAATTTTTTGTTTCCCTAGGGTTCGAACCCAGAACCTCTCGCGTTTAACGCAATGCTGGGAGATACATTTAACCACTTGGCTACAGAGGCGGCCTAAAAAATGCCAAGAAGTAAGGAATTATCCGGCTCGAGGAACCACAGAGTGAGTTGTGTCGAATTTACTACTAGAAGATGATAAGTAGCGTTTTGGGAATTTGCTTTGCATGTGTCTCAACAATCTATTATATAATTTTACACTTGTCTTATTTGTGGCATAACAAAGACCTTTTTAGATATACAATTATGTACTAACTCTTAACTGTCAAGGACCCGAAGGCGGATTTTTCTCCAAACTTATTCTTGGCGTAGCACTGGTAGGTTCCCACGTCGGTGTAAGACACGTCGCGTATCACTAGATCGCCTTCCGGGGTGATGTTGTATCTGATAGTCAAATATGCATTATGAGTATAAGTTATTGAACTTCTGAAATATTATGTATCGTAAAACTTTCTTGGAGAAGCACAAAGGCCACTTTTAAACCGTTCTATATTACTACCTATCTTCTTCTATATTTACATAATATTCAAACATACCGTTAGTAACAAATATATTTTTTAATGAAAAAGGAAATTGCTATTCACCTTAATATGATACATTACATTGAATATGATGGGATTTCTACGGTTTAAAGTACTGAAATGCAACTTAAACTTTTAATTACGGCTAAAACTTTAAATGTAATTTTCCAAGCATACATAGCTAGCTGCAGTTGAAAAGTCAAGCTCTCCTAATTGTATTTAAGTAGTTTTCCAGCCACTCGGTATCCAGGCCAGGAATTATTGAAGTAGGAAACTGTATATAATTCGCGTGCTAGAAAAATTACTGGACCGAACTTTGGAGTTTCCTGCTTATTGTTCAACTGTGCAAGAAGTATGTTAAGTAGTTGTTTTGAGTCCAAATTCGCCATTGTATCGTTTGTAGCTTAATGATAATTTCTTTCAAATGTTGGACGTTTCAATATAATAGTCGGTCGATTAAGATGGTTCTTAGCAAGCTGTCGGTAATATGTGAATAAATAAATATCTGCCGTTTTTGTCTTCCATATACGAACCAAAATATAAACAGACAAGTAGTGACTAGCAACGCGAACAAGTTTCATGTATTCTCAAAGTATTTTTATTTATCATAAATAAAAAAACATGTATCATTAGGCATAGAGCCTTATAAAACAACATCAGTAATAGCATTATACCAATTAATGCTAATTAATTATAGGCACAGGCAAATAGGGTGAAATGGTGTCGTAATAAAATTATCCCGGCGATATTTATAAATGTCGCCGAGGGGCGGTTGGGTTCACGTTACCCGGGGTGCTTTATTACATTTTCATAGTTGGAAGGAGAGATTACGTAAGCGTGAATACGTCACTGACCCGTGCTGTTAATAGACGGGTAATGCAGGGCTGAAGACTTCAGGAAGAAAGGAACACGCGTTTGACGGAAGTTGACTTTGATCAGCTTTATGTACTGTACGTCAATCAGAAATGTATATACATATAAGTTATTTGAAAAAGTCACTTTAGCGATAAAGTATTTGAATATAGAGCTTTTTTTTCTTTGTTTGTTATTTGCATCACTTACGCACATTTATATACGGGCTATAAAGAAATTGTTCATTTACATTTGCGTTTGTGACATGTAATAGGTAATATTATTCCCCGCAATTGGAATATATGGCCTATCCCGTTTGTTATCGATTGTTTAATAAATCGAGGTCGTGGATTTTAATCCCGGGTAATAATATATTGTCAATATAGAAACATTGGAATTATTTTATTCACGACAGCATATAAAAACATCATTTCATTATATAATAAACATTTTTAATAGCAGCCATTTCCCGTCCAATTAACTCGGATTTTAACTGTTGAAAATACCAAATTCATTTTAACAGTAACGTTTTCGTGAAAACACACGCTTATCGCGACGCGTTTTGTGGACGAATGTTAATAGGGGAGGAAATGAATATTCATGGGATCAGAATTTAATTGATCGCTGCGTTACGTTGTACTTTTTGTAACTCAATTTGGTAGGATTATTTTCGTAATTGGATTTTTGACAGGAAGTAAAACGAGTACTGATCTAAATTTGTACTCCATTTATGCAAATTGTGCAATCTATTACAAAAGAATGCCAAATATATTCATGGATAATGATTTCATATAAAAACTATATGTAATGTAGGTTAAAAATCGATCGATATAGTGCCATCAAGTGCAATAACATGTAAAAAATATTAAAGTCGGTTCAAATCCTGCCCGAGTCGAAAATGTTTAATTTATTTTCGATTTTGAACCTAATGTTAGAAATGTAGGAATTGAGTGATGGTAAAAAATGTGTTGTTTGAATAAATACTAGGAAAACCCTCTTAGAAAAAGCACTTAATCGTAAAGCTCGTACATCAATGTCCACTGGCCTATCGAATATTTCCATCAATCTTTCGACGACATTTAATATTATCAAAGAAGGTTAAAGTATTGATCGATAATTTATACCAGAAACGATTTTGAGAGCAATGGACGATTTTGACAGGCTCGTTGTTGTCATGGTAGCAATGTATGGCTAAATATCAACGGGTCGTGGGTTCGATCCCGACCGGTCCCGGTCCAACGTGTTTCTAATTAATTAATTAATTTTTGGACTTCGTCTCGAAATCTGGATATTAAATGGATGGTACGAATATCGAAAATAGGTAACTATTCAGACAATAAGCCTTAAGTAAAGTAAATAGTTGAAGTTATAAATGAATTACTTTTCAAACTTTTTCCCTCCAAATGTTTGAAAGAAATAGTATAGAAGTCTCGGGAGGACATTAAAATCGATTTTCTGCCCTCTATGAACTTTTTCTTGTTATACAACGGTATGTTAGTAAAGGTTCTATTTACTATGGTTTCTATCCGTAAAACTTTTTATATTGTACGTGTAATCATTCAATTAACTTAACGTTTCTATAACTAACCTGAAATTGACTTACGGTTCAGTATAAAGAGTCCTTATATAAGTTAAAGTCAACCTAAGCCTATGCGTATATACAATTTTGCCATTTGATTAAATTAATACTCACTTGCCACCAGTGACATCGACGTCGTCTCGCATCCACCTTACGATGGGTTTAGGCGCACCGAAGACGCGACACTTTAGCACCGCTTCTGAGCCGTCCACTTTGGTTAAGTTCTCTGGTCCTTCCTTTATTTCCGGTGGGATAGCTAGAACGATATAATTAATTCTTAATTACTATGGTTTGACTGGTTGGCCGTGTTAATTTAGAAGTTGTTGATCCGATACGTAGCGATCATCTGGTAATGTGTATACCGTTGAGGCAAACAAGATTAGGAAACTAATAGGATATGTTAAATACTATTTTTATTTTCGTACAAAATATTACTTGTTTGGCATCGTAGGTGCAATGCTGGCTTCGTTCGTAGGAGCATATATTTTGTATATACTTGGGTAACTAAGGGTAAAGATCCAGTGAGTGTAGAAACTTGCGGATACTACAATATCCTAGGCGACAATCTCAACTACGCAATAATTGACAACGGTACGGTACGGACATAATCGCTGTCGTCCCGAGTTTACGCGATAGCCGCGTGGGCGTGTAAACTGTCAGTGCAGCGACCTGTAGGATGTTGTATATTTCAACTGACACAGTGGCAGACATTTGTCTAGCTTATGCTAATAAAGCTAAATTACGAAGACGAGGAACAATCCTACTCGATGGACGGAATACGGCTGTTACTTTATTAGTAGTGAACTATTCATTGCAATGTGAAGTAGACAATGTTTTGATAAAAGTAGCTTATAATATGTTGTTCTAATATACAATTATGTATTAGTTACTACGTTACGCAAATAAGTCATTCTGCTTTCAGAAATCTTCAGCTTCACAAATGCAAAACTTCTATCATCATAATAGAAGTTCATTTCATTACTTAATGGACGTAAATGTTTTATAAACTCAGAAAAAACTACTCAGTAGCGACCTAAAAATTAAATGATTACCTAGGTCCTAGATTAATAAGAAAAGTAACGTTACCTTTGTTACTGGATAAAAATAAACCTCGCTAACCGGTTAAGAGTTATCAATCATAGTTAAGTACCTCTATCTATTAGCTGATGATATAAATTACTGTGTAACAAACGCTTGAGTTATAGAGCAAGTTATGACGTTCCATCATATATTAATTAGATGTTATATTAGTACTAAAAGTTATCTCTCTTTCTTCCCAGCCTATATTAAATTTGATGAGAGTAGTAGGGTGCAGAATATTACCGGACAAAATTTTGTGTACGTATTCATTGGATTTCGGAAAACGTAGATAAATAAAGATTCAACGTTTGACTAAGAAATAAAAATAATGATAGTGTAATAACTATACAGAGAACACAACTTTAAATTTTATTAACTTTCAGCTCCAAAATTAAGAGTAGGTAGTTAGTATCTTTGTGTAACTCCAATTACGACATACATATTTTCCTTTCTTATGTCGATACTTTCAAAGTAAGGTAAAATACTTGAATAAACTAAGTTTACATCTATAATCTAGGCTTTGGGAGGTTTTATTGAAGCCTACATGTCTATAAGAGTATCCTCAATACAGTTTCGAGTTATACAAGCAAAAACCCAAATCTGGCAGACGAGGGAAAAAGTAACAAGATTGCCCTCGACCTCCCCACTCGATCGCTATCGCAAATAGTTGGAGTGAATCGATAGTTGAGGTGCAAGGGGTGACTGACCGGGGGAACTAAGAATATTTCACCCCGTGGGGGGGAGTCATGAATGGAGGCACGTGGAAATTGCATTGCTCTACGCGGAAAACTTTTCTATAATAGTCATAGCGGGGTGTCACAGGCCATGTGCATAGATAAAAACATTTTTCGTGCTCTAAGATATACTCGTACAGAAAACGATTTAGTATTTTTCTGCTAGATCGTAAGACTCTCTGATATTATATATACATAAAACAATGACACAGCTATTGTGTAAAGTATATTTAGTTTAATCTGAACTTATTTTTGAATTTGTGCGGCAATGTAAAATAATTATCTGCAAAGAATTTGAAAAATTGTCGCTAAGGAGTGGTGGCGTGACTATCAGGAAGAAAGGAACATTCAAAACGTGTGATAATTATTTAAATAGTTTATAAATCAAGCGAAGACAATTAAATATTAGCACAAGTCAAAGTGCCACAAGAAGGGAAGGTAATAATTGCGGAAAGCGCCGCAATAAACGAATGATTAAATTTTAATTCACAGCACGTGCCATCGATCCCTTGGTCAGTTGACATAATCTTGATGGATGGGTAGAATATTAATAATCCACTGAGTTCGTTTCAATAGACTATTAATTTATTTACCGTTTAAAACCATTTTTCCAAATGAATGGTTCGCCCTTGCCTCGGGAATCGGTAGTGAATTTAGAGGCTTAAACATTTTTATCAATCCATGCCTTAGAACGATAAGTATTAGTTATTATTAAGTGTTTAGATTTCTCTGTTGTGCAAACCACACACGTTCTTACCGAAGGACAGGTTCAGCCAAAACGAACATGCAAGTAGCAATGAATAAATCACTATGCAATTACCAAAAAACCTATAAATAAACCGTTGTTGAAGGAAAGAGGGTTTAAATAGCCAGGTAGCGTGCTAAGCATGCCATAGCGAATACAATCAGAAAAATGCAGCTGCACCTTTGTTGCGTCACGCAACTGGCACCTTCGAAAATCTTTGATTCTAAATCATTTTATGTAGCAACGAACTGGTGCCCGCGACTTCGTCTACGCAGGATTGGTATTTGGAGTAGCTTATATAAGCGTGGCGTAGAAAAGAACTAACATTATAAGTATGTGTAACTAACGTTTATGGCAGCGCACGAATCCTATCTTTCTGCGAATAGCTCGCAGAACGATAGGTTTATTCCTAGTTACTTGACACTAATGTCATATTTTGGACAGCTCACACTATATCTTTATAAATTGTAGCCTATGTGTTATTCTGGTGTATAAGCTATATTATTGGGAAGTTTAATTGAAATCCATCCGGTAGTTTTTGCGTGAGAGTAACAAACATCCGTCCACACATACAAACTTTCACGTTTATAATATTAGTAGGATAGGTCTATCTGTTCAAATTTTTGAAGACACACGAAACGCTTAGGGTTCACTATGTGGAAAGCGAAACGCCTACGCTGAATAACATATAATTAGGATGCGCCGTCGACACTTATTTCCACTTATATGCAGTGGTTCAATATCCAGGGATCTTGAATATTCCTACCTACTACCGATTCTGTTTCTAGATTTCCACACATTGGCTCAAAGATGACAAGGAAAATTAAAAAGTATCTTTCTAGTATCTTTATGATAAAATTTACCGTCTATGAAAATTGTAGTCATAAAAAAGTGACCGTAACTCGGGTTTACGTATCGCTTGTAAACAAAGAATATGTTTTTGTCTATAGTAATTTACATAATGTTTTATTTAATTGGATCAAACAATAGTTTCGCAATCCGCATATAAACGCATCGGATATAGCATGATGACATCAATTTTTAAATTGATCTACGCTGGGTCTCTTCAATGGAGTTATTATACATTTTTTTCAATTGGCATAGAGCTGAATACAATAGACATTCCGTGGCGTAATCGATTCCGTGATGTCTACGCTTCGTTCGTTCATCGATTTGGGATAATGCAGATGGCTCGTCGGAAAGGCGCTGACTTCAATATTAATTTCAAAATGCTAGTAAAATAGTAAGAACCTGCTGAATAGAAACCATGCCATCATTTTGTACTAAGGAATAATTATATAGGTGAAACTTACGTATGGAATTAAAATCAAAGAAAACAGTTTTAATCAAAAAAGATATAAATTACTTTTTAAATGTATACATAACTAAAATATTAAACTTTTTATCATACCCAGTATTAAAAACTCACACGTTTACTGTACAATATATTCTAAAACCAAGAAAAAAATGTGAGGACAGCAAGAAACGGATTATTTAACTTAAACTTTCTATACGTATTGACCCCGTACAACAACCCTCTTTGTCGAGATTAGAATCATAGAATCCTATCAATAATAAAACCCATAAATACATTAGACAACATTTTTTATTGCTACATCGGGTGCTCACCCCGCGAAAAGACGCTACCACGCGTTGAAATAGCACTTTCTACCCTCCGCTATTATGTACTCCCCTAAGTAATCTGGAGTGTACATTGCGAATCAACCCACGCGTGTTGTATGAAACTTTGTTATTGTTTACAAGACATTAAAGCAGTCATAAAAGGCTCAGACGTAATAAAAAGTTTACGTAGAAGCAGCAAACACAAATTTATGTAAATTGGAATAGTTAATAGCCTTAGAAACAAATAGTCGCTGTTATCTGTAAATGCGCCCGCGCCGTTTTTTAAAGTTAAAGACAAAAAATATAAATCAAATTTACCGTGCTATAACTTAAATCAGGACGGCACTTATGTTTACCGCAAAGTATATCGAAATTGGTCACGCCGATTGGTCAGGACAGAATTACAAATCCTCTAACTGTTCGCAGTGGTTGTATTTATTTCTTAGCAGGAGTGGCATTGTTATACTACACGAATAAAATATAAAGCTATACTCACATTGTACATTAATGTAGACGTCCTTATAGACGAAACCGTTCGAATTGGTCGCGTTACAACCGTAGTTTCCCGTGTCCTTCTTCACCAGGTCCGTGATAATGATGGAGTTAGCAGCTACTTGACGCCTCGGGTTCGGTTCAGCTTGCTCTATAGGTTTTCCGTTGTGGACCCACGAGATCTGCGGTTCGGGAGTACCGCCAGCTTTACATTGAATGATGGCCGTCTCCCCTTCTGCCAGGTTTTGGAATTGGGGCTCTTCGATGAAGAACGGTGCGGCTGGAAAGAGGGATATGCGTAAGTACAAAATATGCTAATAATAGCAACTATAAAGTTAGGTTGTCTGTTTACCTATTGCTCTAAGATAAAAATACAATAAAAATCTCTATGCAACACTAGATGAAAGGACATAAGTACGAAACATGATCGTGTGAACTGAAATAAAAATTCCTCTCGTGTTTGCCTCAATTGCTGTTATCAATTTGAGCCAAGCCAATTGTAAGCATTCCGTCGTAGTAAACAGTTATATTATCCGGTTTGCATGTTAGGCTAAGGAAATGTATTAATAGCTTTCTTCGCATCTTATTTATTCATTTACAAGTATACTTTCAAAGCAAAGACAAAAAAATGTGGAAATGAAACATAAAAAAAAATATTTTACGAAAATATCTTGAAAACATTAATTTTTTTTTCACGTTATTGCATATGATTATCTTTGGTTTTAGATTGAAAAAGGTTTACGACTCGGGCGGGACTTGAACCGGCATGAGCTACCTTGTCCTACACGTCATCGTCGACCTTTTTCAACCTTACACACTTCAAAAATTTATTGGAGATGAACTTAAGACTTTAAAATTTGAAACCTGTGGATGCCGATACTTGAGCCGGCATCCACTGGGTTCCACAGCGGTATGCCCGTGTTGTAATTTTTTTTAAAGATATGTTGATTCAAATGTCCCGCTTGTCCCCTTGTAGGCCACTCCTAACCACGCCTCGATAGAATTCGGCAAGAACATAAAGCACGTTCAATAAGGCCACTTAATATTGGTCAGTAGGAAGTGCGTACGCATTGAAGCGGTCTTGTCCAAAATAATGAGCTTTATAAGGGACGCGGTCGGCACTGGCTCAATTGAATTTGTGAGGGCGCTTCCGGAATGTGTTATTACACTTGATATTGTTAGGACTATTTGTCAAGATCATTGTCTTCATTGAACTAGATATAGGGTCATATTCATTAAGTGTTAGTTACATTATTATTGCTCATGGAATATAATTTATATATATTGCTCTATATATAATTTATATATATGACTCTCTCTGAGTTGGCTCCAGGTGGACCAGTAATTGAACATATTAATTTTAGTTACAAAATATTATGTGTTAAGATTTTCAAGTGTACAATAAAGAGTTCTTGATTTCATCATGACTATGTGAGCCCTTCTGGTGCCAAAACTGAATTCGCTTTTCATTTAATTTTTGTCAAAATTTTTGTACATTTCGGAATACAAATACCAATTTAATAATACGTACTATAAATTACTTTGTCATTGATTTCTTCTCTCTTTTTTGCATATTTCATGGAAATAGTGATATAGTAGGCAACAAATAAAAATTTGCACAAAAATAAAAATAGTCCGTAGACCAGATTTGTCTAGGCCACGGCTGTATTTACCACAACCCATAAATAATAAACAAGCGAGATTGATTACTCCCTCAGCTCACAATAATCACAATTACTAAACTTCCAAGTGAACTGCCTCCAGGGAGCAATCAGCCGCTTTTGATCCAATTCAATTTATAGCAACATTTTCAATCGAGACGTGGATTTGCTACGAAATCTCTTTATTTTGATTTTTATATGCAGTGTTATTGTTATTTTCACGCTTAAGGGAAAATTGTCTCCCCTCTACAAAAATCTTTATCGATTATTCAATTAAGTATCATTGAATCGATAATTGATTGATTAAAATTCAAAATAAAACGTATTAAATTATACGAAATCTATACACCATGCAATGGTTTTCTATTCGTATTCTTTTACTTTACACCCAAAAGAGCTAAAATATTGTCTTCGCATATTTAGTCTCAGTCATCTTATAATCCTGTAAAGTTGTTCTATTATATTTTTTACTGGATTATCTATCTTACCCTTTTGAGATAGATAATCAAGTTTTAAGTGTCTCAAAATTCAATAACTAACATTTATTCATAGTTATACTAACTTAAATGCATATTTTCCTAGCAGTCTTCTAAGTCTTTCGGTCTTTATGCACTGAAGTGAGCATTTCCCTTTTGTTTGACCTTTCTATTTACATTATCAACACTGTTGTGATTTTGGTGAATCAGGACCAATAGTTGCAATTTGTCAAACTCTGTGGGAATATAAATTATTGGGAAAGCTTTTACCCTGTTTTACCCGTGACGCAGCAGATTGTACGATATTTCGTGAAAGAAACATAATTTTGTTTGCGTATGGTTCTAAAGACTTTTTAATAGGGTTATAACAGTTCGTACACGGATCTACACGCGTTGTCAGTGCACAAGGGTTTTCTTAGCGACATCTGTCTATCAAATGTACCTGAAACTACTTGATGGATGTATAACAAATAAATACTATCTCGATAAACAAGCGTCTGTTTCAACAACTACACTTGACGCTTTTGTGCGAAAAACAAACTAGCAATTTCTCAAATCACCCCGTTCCGCACAGAACAATCATCATCGCACAACCCCTTCCGTCATTATCATCAACCCCTAAATCATGAAAAATTACAGATTTCACCCCTCGCAGTAAAACAAAAATAGGACAATCACTGCCTTCATCCTTCCCCCTATGGTATAACTATTTAATGCGAATATGAATGGATTTCTAATACATTAATCCCGAGCGGGTGTCCCCATTGGTTTAATATATCGTGGGATACCTGGTACATTAATTAAATACGCCAAGGGAAAGTGTGTAACTGCCCTTACGTAAGCTGCGTGTTATTTGGATTATGGTATCCTTTTATGGCATAATGTTTTCATACAAAAGCTTATAGTTGCCATTATAAAACATTATAATTGTATTTCGATTAAATTAAAAGTAATATATACAACTTATATAATTCGCGTTTAAAGTACTGCTCACGTAAAATACAGACAATACTATTCATGTCGTAAAACATTTACATGAGTACTATGTGACGGCTACTTTTTAGGTAATATTGAAGTTAAATATTAAAAACCTGTGTTTCTAGTTGTGAGACATAGAGCTGATTGAAACCGTAAATAACAATAAAAGCTCATTTTAGATTACGATATAAGAAAAATCAATATAACGCACAATAACTTTGATACTCAGACTTAACTGTAGAATATACATACTGTTTCTTCACTATCAACACTAGTATACGCCACTACAAACACGTCTCGAAATTTGTTTTGACTGCAGACTTCTAAAGAGCATATGCTAGTCATATATAAATTTATCAAGTGACTTATAATAAGGGAGACACACCGTTTACCACCCTTTCGTTCACCGTCAAAGCCATATTGAGATGTGTAGGTATGTCTAACTAGTAAGTACGGAGAGCAGACGGCATTCAAGTTAAATTACGCGTAAGACGTGCAAGCGTAAGTATGACGCAGAAGCTTTCAACTTCATAGTTCTGCATGAAAACAATGTGTTGAAGAAACTAATGTTATATCGTGTGGAAATCATTATAAAAATAGTAATGAAAATCGACGCTCACCATTTGAAGCACTTTGCCATTGTGTAGATAAACATGATGACCTTTTGTTCTTTAAATAAAGTTTCTGTTACGTAATTATACAATAAGCAAGTGTTTTTTAAATTGCCATCAAAAATTTATTAAACAATACATTTGGTATTCCAATAAAATATATAAAGCTGCAAAGTTTGTTTGTTTGTACGTTTGAACTACTGGTTCGAATTAAAAAAATATTTTTGTGTTGGTTAGAACATTTATCGAGGAAGGCTAACGCACATTGCAATGTGACTAATATGAGTGAAGAAACAGCGGGAAATGTTAAAAAACGGGCAAAATTATAATATCTTTGAGGGTTTCCAATCCGTAAGCTACGAAAACGTTCAAAATACCAAAAAGATTTATGAAAGAATTATTCATCTTTAAAGAATCTAAAAAAAACCGCGATACTTTATGTCTATGCCTTTTTACTCATACGAATAACAAATGAAAATAAGATAATTTCCATATAGAAATAACTGTTTGTAATATAAAACTCACCTTCAACATTAAGTTCTATGGAGTATGACTGAGCTTGACCAACACCGTTACTGATTTCACAGGTATACGTGCCCTTGTCTTCGTACCCAGCTCGCTTTATGACCAGCGTCTTCCCGTAGTTGTCCTGAGTGATTCGTTGGGACGACAGTATCGTGTGACCGCCCTTTTTCCAAACTACTTGCGGCAACGGCCTGTTAAAAACCGTTATAACTTTTACACGGAGCTTTTAAAACACATTACATTCAAATAAAAAAGATTTGACCTTCATTAAAACGTGTCCGTCATACAGATCGATTTTATTTCTAAACAAAGATTTTAAATAATTATTCTGCAATGTTACTCAAAATCTTAATCCGTGATTTCCCGTGCTCAACGCAAAACCAAGAGTCTCACGACTGAGTCGAAGTATTAGAAAAACCTACCAATATTCAACATTTAATCGTATGTTTAAATTATGGAGTTTACATATTATACTTTAAGGGCAAAGAAGGAACAAAAATTTTATATTTTCCTGAGATTCGAACTCACAAGTTCTTGGACCTCATTGGCAGTCAAAGGTTGCAATATCTTAGTGATATAATTAAGCAGATATAAAACATTAGAAGCGAATTAAAATTACTGCACCCAGTTTTACAACGTACACGTTTTCAACACGAGTGGCCTCAAAGCTCTTAAACTCTTAAGAGCTTTCTCGTTCTTTCGTTGGATATTTATTTTTCCGTTTGTGGTATTGTAATTTAAAAATATTTGTACTATGTACAATTTATAAAATTGAACATGCCTAATAATATATTTATATTAATTTATTATATACACAAAAGGTCAAGCCTGCGTCGTGGGTACATGTAACTTTAAAATTATTGCAATTTGATCAGAGTGAGAAACGTTTTAAATAAACATATAACATAAAACTCCTTTTTTTACCCTTTTTATTGCCGAATTAGTAAAAATCGGCAACGAATTGGAACGTAATATTAATTATTACATACAAAGGATAATGATAACTTTTGACGTGAAATTATGAGTCGTAAATGCGTCACAATATGAATATTAATAGTCCTCCGCTATCAGTCTGATTCAAGGCGAATCTGGTTCACAGGAACGCGGGTCAAAGCTGGTGTGACGCACGCTAACGCATTGAGGCGCCAGCTTCATCCATCCGACTGATTTACGAGCGCGATGAACATGCAACACTGTGTCAAGTCGGGACCTAGTTGGCAACACCGCAGTGTTTGATGACAATTAATATTGTTTGTTGGTAATAGTAGCATAATATTACTAGGACACGGTAACTCAATTGGTTAGACCAGCGGCACGGAATGTGGATGCCATTGCCTTTCCTTGAAAACTATTTAATCTAACATAATATTAATTTAACGAATTATTTCAAACTAGCGACCAGCCCAAGCCTCGCTCGGGTGAGCTATGCTACTACTAAATACGCGCAGAAAAACTATGAACGTTGTATATAAAAACCTTCCTCATGAATCACTCTATCTATTATAAAAAACCGCATCAAAGTCCGTTGCGTTGTTTTAAAGATTTAAGCGCACATAAGGATAGAAAAAGCGACTTTGTTTTATATTATGTAGTGATAATCTTACGAAAATTAATTTTAGGTCAGCCTTTCTTCTTTTTTTTGGAAGATTAAGCATTTTGTTAAATCATTTCTTGCTGGCTAGATGCTTTTAAAAATATATGTATAACAAAGGATACAGGAAATAGCGCTTCTTTTGAACTAAAACCAAATGAACCGTTTCCTACGACTTGCCGTACATATTTGGCAAGTAATATTTCAACGTACCATGTTTCTTCAAGTAATAAAGCCTGAACGAAGATTAAAGCACTAATGAACATCTGCAATACTATGTCAAGAGCAGAGACCTACTTGGCCGCGGTGCCAAACTGTTACATCGTTAATATTTTCTGAATATGACACTTATACGTTTAATCTAGTATATCTTCGGATACTGGGCCAAGATTACGGCTCTTATAACCCGCTTACTATCAGATCTTGGCAAAGACATATCACTTTTTCTAAAGACTTATGTGCCTCCTTAGTTAGAATATTTTTAATAACTTTCTTTCCGACTATGTATGTAAAACCTAGGAAATGTATATATGTAATATGCATTTCCTCATTAAAATAAACTAGCTAAGGTCTTAAAATATCGTCATCCCTAATTAGAGAACTAATTAACATGCAAGTTAAAATGAAAATACTCACGTTCCTCCATAAATACAGTACAGCTCGACCTTCTTCCCGCGCCACGCCTTCTCCACCCTCCTCGTGGTATACTGTCTTACTGGTTCATGCTTATTCTGTGTCGGGGATATCCCAGTCTGCTGCACTTGAAGATAGACTTTATTACCCAGTTTGTATTCGTTCCTGAAAACCGATTTCGCCGCACAAGTGTATGCGTAGTCCACACTGGCGTCATATCGAGTTACATTGGAGAACCATAAATTGCCTTCGGGGTCTAGTGTCATTCTGGAGTTGTTTATGGTCTTCAACTGCCCCTGTTCACCTTGCAGCATCCAGTACACATTTGGGCTCGGGTGACCATCGGGCGGGTTGCAGGTAAGTTTGAACGGTAAACCTTCTTGGGCCGTGATCATTGTCTGCGGTCCATCCGTATCTTTGAAGGAGTTCAACTCGGCTTTTCTTACAAAAACAGAATTGGACGTCGCAGTACCCCATTCGTTGTATGCAAAACATTGGTACTGTCCCAGGTCTTCATCGCGAGGTCTGCTCACGACCAGGGTTCCCCTACCGGGCTGCTGAGAGATTCGGTTGTCGTAGCTCGTATACTCGAAGGGCTTGCCGTTTTTGATCCATCTGTACCTGTATGACAAAAATAACTCGGTTAGTACATGACGTAACTGGAATTGATATCATTGAGCTCAAACCTAGGCCTAATGGATTGTTACGTAGGCGGCGGTGATTACTAGGATTGTCTAGGAACCGCGACATAAATTGAGACATTCTTATAATCTAGTGGTCTTAATTGTATTTTTTAAAGAAATCTTGGCGTTGACCAAAACTAGAGCTTTATTGTAAGTAGGTTTCTTTATAGTGCAAAATAAGCAATTTTCTTTGACCTATTTTGACTAATTCGTTAATTTTTTTTGCTGTAAGTAAATATCGAATAGTAAGTATTAATTATCAACAAAATCATAAAGGATTAACCCTAATATTTTCGTGAATACAAATTGGGCGCATCGTCGCGTGTGGTGAGTAAATAACGAGAAATAAACGTGACATAATATTTCCAATGGTATACGAAAGCCCGCGTTGACTCAATCAAGGTTGATTCATGAATAAATATGTCTACGACGTGTTCTAATTGGCCCTCATATTTTCGTTTCCTGTGATGAATTATTGAAGATGTGTCTCAAGTAAGCCTTATTACCATCCAACCATAGCACTAATAAAATAATATAAATTAAGTCTTCTTTCGTACGTTTTAAATATATCGCCTTACAGAAGAATATCGTGTTTTATTACAGTGAAATTGTTAATTTTAGTTATAGCTCTAAACTACATTCAAACCTAATGCATTATAATAATTTGCTTCAATGAGTACGCAATCATTTTCTTTAATAAACTATCAAGTACAATATAAATAACATTTTCAACTACACTAACAAGCCCAAGATAAATGTTTTTTTTTAAATTCCAACAGTTTTAATATAAGTAATGAGGCTAGATTAAAATGCAGCTGGAAACTAATTTCGCTCCGACGCTGCAAATTACCACAGAGGATTGCAGAGATATACTTGACCGCTTTGCATCCTTACTTAGGTCGGCTCAGGATATATTCACCGGGAACCAAAAACCATTTCGATAAATGAAAGCAAACATTTTTTTTTTTTTGAATGGACCTTTACGTATTGTGTTCCTAAGGAGCCACGAATACTAACCGGGCGTTTTGGGCGAGCGCGCGTAGTTGGCGGCCCGGGCAACCAGTGGGTTCGGATGCGTCGCGGCTTTTTTAAACAAACGTTCGGACGTTTCCTTGAAGTACCGACTGAGGGTCGATAATTCGAGATCGGCGTGAAGATTTGCATTCCGTACGCACCAGATGGCTCCAGTGGCGGTTCGAGTGAACCGATTCTGAAGCACCTGGAGCCTGTGCAATGTACTAGGGGCGGCGTGAGCGAACGCGACGCTGGAGAAGGTAAGGATCAGACGAAGAAAGCAAACACTTTACTGAAACGGACAATGGAATTGAAAATATTGGAAGTGGGTTGAGAAAAAACAATAAATGGCTTTTTTTTCATATGAAAAAAAAACATTACAATATTGTTTTCACAGTATGCTTCGTGATATGTTATTTTGCAATAATCGATACAAGTTCTTGTTGTTTGCCCACACGAGTGTAGTTTATAACTCATTATATATACTCATTACATATACTTTATAAAAATAAGTAAATACAATGTATACTAATATTATAAAGGTGAAGAGTTTGTTTGTTTGTTTTGTTGGACCATTTATCGAGGTAGGATTTAGGCTAAAATTAGGCTGCGATTGTTACGAGCGAAGATATGGTGGGAAATGTGGATCAAACGGAGAAAATTATTCATTTTTAAGAGTTCCCGTTGCTTGCGCAGCGAAATCGGTTCAAGATACTTCAAAAATATTTGTCTTTAAATAAACTTGAAAAATTATTGCGACTGTATTAGTCTGTCGATTTAGACTAAATCACAAGAATCGTTTTTATGGTAGTCAAATTTGGTCGAAAAACTTGATATGGTAAAAGAACCATTGCTAAGTCAGCTGGTGATAGATATAATCAGATATTTTTTCAGACCACTGAAAATCTGTTTCAGTGAAAATATTATAAAATTCTGTAAATATGTAAAAGCTTGCAAATGCCATTATGTAACATTGTCATATGCGTAACAATCGCGACCGTAGTTTTAATTAAGTAATGCTTTTGTCGCATAGTGTTCTATTGACCTAGAATCATACTTTTATAACTGGGTTTTAAAACACGCCAGATCTATTATAGGACTTAATAGAAGTTTTAACTTGAACAGTGTATTGATAAATATACGAATATTTTTAACGTAAATAACATGAAGGTTCTATAGGTAGCTTTTACACATCTGTCTATAGTTTACGCGAGTAGTACACATTTATATAAAACACTTTAACAGTTTAAAACGCAATATATCAGTCAAACTTATTTGAAACTGGTATAAAATCAGTAAATTAACACATCTTTCAAAATTTACGGAGACCTATTTTCAGTGATGATAAGAGTTATTATTCTCTCTTATTGGATTTTCTTTTGATTACGTATTTTATGTTTAACGTAATATCTACAGCCATCAAAATTTCGACTATTCACGCGATACAATATCTCCAGGAACGAGTGTATATGAATAGGATCTTATGTAGCTGTGCGGATACAGCCACTTACAACAGCGCTAGGAAGTGCACGATGCAAGCCGATTAGGATCCCCTTACCTGTTCTTTCTTGAGGGCATACGGAGAATGTGACGCTTATTAGATATTGCCGGGGACGACCCCTTAATAGGATAGGTGAGGTAGGATGTATGTGGCAGTAGATGAAATGGCTGTCGAGACGGTTACTTAATATATACACTCATTTTATGATTATGATATTTCTTTGTGAAAGTCGAAAAATATTACGTCACATTATTTATGATTTCTCCGTCATAAAAAATAATGTCAATGACGAAAGCATAAGTTTGATTAATGTAAGATCAAATACCTACCCCAGTTATATAACATCTTAACAAGATGCGCCATCGTCCTATTTTGGATTCGGAAATCCATAGACTGAAACCGAAGGCGAACCGAAGACACTTAACGCATGTATCTATGTATAACGAATTCGATATTCAAATATTTCTACTATCCATTAAAACTACCTGTCAAGTTGCAAAAAATACCTATAATATTAGCTTATTTGTAAAATGTATGCTAAGTGCGATTACAAAAAATAATGTAAATCAACGAAATAAATACTATATAAAATTACTAAGTATAATTACTTACAAAATACGATGGCATTCAAGACCTTTACATAAAACGTATCTCAAAAGCTACGGCGCCGTTCGTTATTTTGATTCAAGTCACGAACGCCGTCTAAATAGAGATTTCATCTTAAACCGTGGCCTAAAGAAGCTAAAGCATAGAATACGAAGTGTCCGCAACAAATTCACGGCATAAAATATCACTACCAGCATATTCATTAAGAGCTTTGTAGCCTGTAAAATCTGGCAGATACTGCATTCACGTAGATTTGAATGAGATCCCAAGTGAATACACAGCATGTCATCGTCAGACCTTTTGCATAAGCACGGTGCAGCTTTACCATAATTTTTACGTTGCAGGTTGTTCAACTTGTACGAGTAATTCCTTACACAGATTTTATGTTCATGTAGTACCAACTTATACTACCGTCTGTAGTTTACGCGAGTACTACAAGTTTAAATAAAACACTTTAACGGTTTAAAACGCGATATATATTAGTAAAACTTATTTGAAAACTATTTTAACTACGGCCCGACATTTCGGATGCTTCGCAGCAGACGTGACCGCGGTTAAAGTGTTTTATTTAAATAGTACCAACTACCTTAACTAACTACAGTGGCTACATACCTTTAACTTAACACAAATAATCTTTTCTCTATGACGTTCATTTAATTTTTTTTTCCGAATATCCAAAGCCAAAATAGGTCGATAGCACATCTTGTGTAAATCTATATGGCTGGGGTATTTCACCTCCCTACACGGGAACCTAGTCCTTGTCTGTCCTCCTCTATCTAAAAATTACTTTTTTGTCTAGTTCAGGTGAATTAACAAATATATATTTGTCTATGATTTGCAATTTAGAACCTGTGAAAGTGGATATGTAATATAATTTTGTCTGTTCGTCGCGTCACGAAAGCGGAAGGCAATCATACACCGGAAATACATTCTCGTTGGTTATCAGGCTTTGGTTACACGACCACCCTACCAATATAGGAACTATACATAGTATTGCAATCCTGTTTCCTCTTGGGGCACGGGGCGAACACATCTCTTTATTTCTTGCACTGATCGCTTCTATTCAAAAACAAGTTGTAAAAACAATAGGAATCATAGATTTTGATATCATATTTTTCTTGTTAGTGAATGTAACGACATTGTCATAATATGACAACATTTATGCCATGCATGATGTCACTAACCTTGCCTTTTGAGCGTTGCATCTGAATATTATGACGATTGTAAATGAATAAGGTATCGGGTGACGTGATCCGATACTCGTTTTAACCGACTTTGAAAAAAAGATATACTCTGGAGTATGCATAACAAAAAATAACTACATACAAATACTATCCCTTTGAACAAGAAGTCCAGGTGTGATCATTAATACAACGGTTCAAAATCGCCTCCGTAGCTAGATGCTTTAACGTGTTGCCTGGCATTGAGTTAAGCGTCAAACGACCCGGGTTTTAATTCCAGAGAAAAAAGAATATTTCGCTCGGGCAGGCAAGGAAATCTGATCATCTACTTGTCTGTAAAAGAAGCAATCAATGGATCTGACACAGTAATGTGTTTGCCTCAAGCCCCCACAGGGAAAAATGGAACTCCACACGTTTCGAGATGGTTTTTTGTTAGGAAATAACATTTGTCTAATTGTAAATTTACCTAAAATTACAATTGAGCCCTGTTTCCTTTAAAGTATTAATATCGTCAATGAATTTTCCCCACGGACTCTTCATGTTAGAGTTGATGTCAATGCGTTGAATATTCATACTTAATACAAGTAAAAAGTGACCTGAAAATCCACATATCGATTCTTTGTGAACCAATAAATG